AGCTCCTTTTCTGCTATTCAGTCTTGCCCAGTTGGCTCAATATGTGGTCTACTGGAAACAGCAGCCTCCACAGATGAGCTCTAGGGCTCTCAGAGGCAGGCCACGAGTTCTGTGCTTCTAGGGCAGAAACTTCCAGGGCAGTGCCACTCCCTGGGGTGACTCTTCCTTGCTCTCCCGAGGATAGTACTGTGGGGGCCGGAAGCAGCCCTCAAGCAAAGGTGCCAACCTGCAACTGCCACCTGCCCATCCCCAGGACTAAATATGAGCCATGAGGCCTATCTCACTGCATACAATTTTGTGTTTGCCTGATTACCAGTCATTGACCTGTCTTTCAGAGACATAATGTTTCCAAGGCTATTGGCTGCATCTTCTCATACCAGAATGTGAATGTGGGTTTTTTTTTTTTAATTCCTTCTTTTTTGATTCTCCGCTTTCAATTTCCCTAGCGTCGTCTTTTTGCGAAATCCATTTGCTTCTTTTCCTAATCTAGTCAGATCATAGATGTGGCACAAAACATATAAAAATTTATTAAAATGTGGAAACTCTTTGACTCTTAAGCCACCCCAAATATAATTTGCCTGGATGGTGTTGAAGCTTAATATCCTTTTTGAGTTTTGTTTTGTTTTGTTTTTTATAAAACTGTCATTGCTGACTTGATATCTAAAGCAAATTCTATCTGCACATTTAAGTATTCCACTGGGAGATTTATGTCACTGACTTCAATTGCAAAGCACACATCCTTTTTGGAATCTCCCTCATGTATATGACCCATCACTGGGGTTTATGCTACAAAAGACTTAATTTCTCTGTGAAATTCCTTCTAAACAAATCTAGCATCCTTGTTAACTCCAGAATGACTATTGCTCTGGAAATCACTTCTCCCAGATCAAATCCCAGAGAACGGTCTGGATTTTTCCGTTATACTGTAATGAAATTAGACTGAGGTGAATATAGCTTAATATATGCATTCCGGGCCATGTGGAACTGTTACTCATACTGTTGGCACCATATGCATGAAGCACAAAATGTGATAATGTATGGAGGATGCTCTGAAAATTGTAAGGAGCAACAGAAATATAAGGTTGACATTTCCCCCCAAAATGCCGAGAAGTGTTTCCTTACTTAGGCCAAGCTTTGGTGAATACCAGGCACACAGCGATTAGAGATGATGACCGTGACAGTGATTCTTTGGCACTCTCCCGTCTCCCTTTATCCCCTGACAAGGCCAGAAGAGCTGGGAGTCGCCTGGCCCTTTGCTGGAACCAAGCGGAGGACCCTGGTAGGACACACATCACCTCTTTGAGCCTCAGGGAGAGGACACTGCATGGTTGTGACAAAGGTTAGAGGACATAGTAAATGCTCAGCATATGGGAACATAGTAAGGAGGTGCTCAGCTAAACGGGAACTGTTGTTGATTTTGTCATCCTCCTCTTCCCGGGGTCACTAATGACAGGCCGGAAAGGGCACCCCTTATTCCCAGCTTCTGCCAAGGACCTCCAAGAGCCCTCAAAAAGGCGGGAAAACAGTACTGTCGGGTTGCTGAGCGAGAAGACCGGTCCTCACACAGAGGGAATCCTTGAAGAGCAAGGCCGACCCCAGTCAACTGCTCAAGAACCTTTGGAGGGCAGTGGCTTCCCGGCCTCGCGGAGGTGCGGGTCATGCAAATGCGATATGAATATGCTAATACAGGGCTCCCCGCGAACGAGAAGGCGCCTGTCCCGACTGGCAGAGCCGGCGGGGAGAACCGAGGGGACACGAAGAGGACGCGGAGGCGCAACCGGGCTGCTGGACGGAACCAACCCCAGACAGACAGACTCCCACCGGGAGAGGACGTCCCTCCCCCAGCGCCAGCCCCCCTCGCGGCCCCAGGCGCGCCGCCCGCCGGTCCCTGGGGCTCCTTACCGAGGGTGATGAAGGGGTGGCGGAGGGAGATGCTGCCGGCAGCAGGGAGGGGCTCCCCTCCGAATTTAGGAGCCAGAAGGTTCTTGCCAGCATTACCACCTTGTTTTACAGTTGAGGAAACTGAGCCCAAGAGATCAAGCCCCTTCTCGAAGGTCTCAGTGCTGGGGCTGGAGCGCTCGGCAGAGCAGGTTTTATCTGCTTTTGTTCGGTTTTCACTATGGCCCGTGGCGAGCACTGTGTAGGCGCGAAAGCGGCAGCCCTGAATGCAGCAAAACTTGGTGCATTACCAAGCAGGGCCCCGACTGCCCACCAGGCCGGGGGGTTTAGAATCGAATACTTCCTGGGGAAAGATGAAAGGAGCTGGGGTGGCTGCCAGGGGCAGCAGCAGGCAAGGACAAATCACCCTAGGCTGGTCTGGAATGTGTTGCTATGTAGGTGAGCAAGAGTTCCAGATACCAGGAGAACCAGCTCAGAGGAAAGGGGAACAGGAGGATTATGGTTAGATTTAAGGCAGCGCTTTCTCCCAGGGATGACAACGGAGCCCTTTGTTCAGTGACCAAGGAATTGTGCGGGCACACCCAGCCCCCTCCCTCCCACGTGGAGGCCCTTGGAAACCCAGCTCTCTCTAGTCCCCCAGGGCCCAGCATGGAGGACAGAAATGAATGATTGACTTTGAAAAGTCCCCACCATTCAGGTAGGAGATCCTTTCCCCGATCAGCCCCCTGGGCTCTTTGCTGGGGATGAGGACAGCAGACGGGCTGGCTCTGGGGCCCTGCGGGGAAAGCGGCAGTCATGGCATCTCTTGCAACACGCTCCCTGCCAAATTGATTCAAATTGGCTTGGATATGAACATATGATTAAAGGAGCGGCGCGATTCATTTATCAGGAGAGATTAAAGAGCGGCATCTGCGCAGCCTAGCTGGGGGACAATTAAGGAGCAAATCGCTAAGTGTCTGTGCCACCAGGCATGGGGGCGGGGCATGGGGAGGACACGGGACAAAAGGAGGTAGTTCAGGAGTCACTGTGGGGCCACTGTTGTCTCTGGGCATAGGCTGGGCACCGTGGGGAGCCTCACAGGGCTTTGGTCCTCACCTCCCATCCGGGAGTCAGAGCAGTCCTGAGGGTCTGAGATCAGAGAGGAGAATCTGTCAAGGCAGCTTTGCGCCTGGCACAGGGACAGATTTGCTGCCTGTTTTGCGAGAATCATTTCTATCTTAGGGACCAGAGCTGCATGAGTGTACAGGTGAGGGCAGGAGCTTACAGAGCTCTGAAGGCACACCCAAAAGGAAGTTGGGCTTTGATGGACCCGCGAGCTCCTGGACTCCCCTGGGGAGTTGGTGCTGAGGGAATCGTGTCCTTCCCTGGAGCCTAGCACCCCGGCCAAGGGGCTTTGCTGCAACTTCAAGTGTTGGTCCTGAGAGGCTATGTCCGGCTTCCTTAGACAGCCCATGGAAATCCCTACCACCACCCTTCTTTCCCTGTTTAAGCCTTTGCTTAAACTCTTCTTTTTTTCCGGTACACCTGTGGAAGTCCTAGCCTTTCTTCAAGCCCCAGCTCAAAATACCAGCTCCTTTTAGAAGCCTTCCCATCCTCCTCCACCTGAGACCGACCCCCCCAAGCCTCCCCCCATAATATGTGCAAAGCAACTTCCTTCTCCTTCTGTCTAATGTTAATTATTTCCACGCGGGTCTGCCCTGATCCATGAGCCCCTAGATGACAAACACTGTGACTTACATCTCTCTACTCACCCAAAGCTTGAACATATTAGTAGGCGCAGTCCCTATTTTGTATGTTACCTTCTCCACTAGAATCTCTGCTTTACGAAGGAAGGAAACTCATCGGTCCCCAGCACTTAGAACAGTGCCTAGGCCACAGCTGGCAGTTAGGAAATATTTGACTGTTGAGTGAATGAATCAATGAATAACATAACATAAGCTTTCTGACTTGAACAAAGCCCTCTGCCCCAGACTTTTGGATACTGATGATGGTCTTTCCAGTGAAGCAGAGGCCTGTGTCACTGTGGGTCCACAGAGTTGGGATCTTGTCTGCAGATGGGAGGGACGTTGTCACACTAGTTCCTGGGAGAAACAGAAAACGCACCCACCTATCTGAAAGCATGAGTAAAAGGTGAACACGAGGAGCCAGCAGTTAAAAAAAAAAAAAAGTAACTTTACTTTTACTACCTTCGCTATTCAACAGGAGGGGGGGGGCAGTGGAGAGGGGAAGTCTCTTTCATTCAAGATGGACCCATTTTATACTCCTCTCCCACTCATTCTGGGGGACTTTCCTCCCTCCTTCCCTTTCTTGACCCTTTCTGGGTGGCTGACATCACCAGAGCATTGGCATTAGGGCTGTCTGATACCCTTTCCTGCTTACCTGTACAAACCAGGGGAGCCTGACTGACCAGCTATAAAAGAAACTTTATGCATGCAGGGATTATAACTGGTCACATTACAGAAGGTAGAGAGGAGGAGGGGCCATTTGTTTCTTGCCCTTCTGTAAGAGCTGCCTCTTAGCTGTCAGTGAGCAGAGCAAGCGTGGACTGAGGCATGAAGGCAGAGACTGAGCAGGGCAGAGAAGCCAGAACTCCCAGCCTACTCAAGTTGCCCTGTGGCCCATGGGGCTGGGGGCCAGAGAGAGTTCTGCGATGTTTTGATCAAAAAGTTGTATTTGGAATGACTAAAATTAAACCTAAATTTTTTTTCTAGTAAGAAGGACTTGCATCCCTCAAGAAAAAAAGGAGAGAGAGAGAGAGATAGGATCTCTGTAATTGGTGAGATTTAATAATCAGAGGGACCTCAACATTCCTGAGTGGAGGTCGGGAAAGGATGCAATGTGGATGGTTCTTGCCCAATTACGATTCACAGGCTCTTAAAATAAAAGGCAGGGTTTGTCTTCCTTGACCAATCTTCTCATCCTACTACCTTTGCCTGCCCCAAATGACCTTCCAAAGCTCTGAGTGGCACTGGTCTGGTGTGGGAGTAGGCCAGCGACCCGGGCGCTTCCCCTGGTCCCCACCAGAATCCTGACTCTGCTTCCCAGGGACCACCCAGGACTTTAACTGAGCCTGAAGGAACAGGCAGGAAAATTGGCAGAGCCAGGAGGAAAAGGACATTTATTTCCATACATCAGGTAAACAGGGAAGAGAGAGCACAGCCCAATGAATACAAACCAATTGTGGGGGGCATGGGGGGGACAGCGGATGGGAATGGCACCAGGCACTGCCCTCGGGCCCCCAAGTCTGGTGGCGTTGGTGGGATGAGCTTTAGGGTGGGGGCTGGGACTGTCGGGCCACACGTTGTCATGTCTAGGGTAAGTGTGTGGGGGCAGGGCAACTGGAAGAAGAAAAATGACTCCGGCTCAGGACACGGGTGAGGGCTTGTGTCTAATATGCATCAGTACTGACCCAAACCCCCACCTTCAGTTTTTCTGATCACAAGCCCTCAACCCGCGGCCTTCCCTCTCCAGTTGGGCCTATAGTCCAGGCAACCTGGACAGAGCAGCAGGGAGGCAGTGCTTGGATAGGCCCCGAACTGGTGTAGGTGGAATGGGTTTAGTCTTAAATAGGTCATTGCACTTAACACACTGATGAGACAGAGAGGGGTGGGGGCCAAAGTGCCGGGTGGTACATACGCACCCCTGTCTGTGTAGGCTGGCTCGACCCATACCCAGAAGCACCTGAGAGCCCCTCCCCAGGCTGACTGAAGAATCTGGCCCCAGCTCCGCTCACCGGTCTCTCCAGCTGCGCAGAGAAAGGACTCCTCTCGAGTGAAGTTGGAGATGAGATTCCCCTAGTCATTCCCGCAAACCCCAGCTGCCGCCACAGCCCCCTCCCACTCTTAGGGATGCAGCTGTGATGGAGAGGTTGGGTATTTAAATTAAAAGTAAAAAGACAGCAGGCACTGAGAAGAGAAAGCCCTCGCCCCAAGCCAGGGTGGGGAGGAAGGGCTGTTCCTGCCCCCGACTCCTCCCCACGGACCCAGCAACCTAGAGTGTCCCAGCAGGCAATCTGCCCACCGTCCCTGAGCAGGGGGCTGAGATGGAGGTCAGCTTGCTGGCTCCATGCAGTGCCAAGCCACCTGCCACTGCCCACTGAGTGTGGCATTTTGGAGGCAGAAGGAGCAAAAAGTTCTCTTTTCAGAAACTCCCTCCCCCCACCTCTTCCACGTGGAGACGTCAGACACCCACAGCTTGGAAAGCCCCCCAGACCCAAGGGGGCCGGGTGTTTCCCATGCAGATCAGCAGTCAGGTGGGGGAGACCTGTGCCCCGCCATTTCCTGGGAGAGGCGCCGTGGCCGCAGTGGCCGGTGGGTGCAAGAGGTACAGACCACTCCTCTGGGCTATGCGTTGGTCTCGGTCGGTTTGGCCTCTGTGTCGCTGTCACTCAGATAGTTATGGGAGTATTGCGGCCTGGAGGTGCTGTCCAAAGGGTCGTGCTCATCATCTGACCGGTCAGGGGCAAGGGACTTCCAGTAGCTGGTAGGGCTGCGGGGAGAGAGGAGGAGCAAGGTCACAGCGGAACGATGCCCTTAACCTTCAGCACCAAAGCCTTTGGGTCTGGGGAGGCTCCCAAAGCCCCGTCATAGCATTCCCCAAAAGCCACAAATTGAGAAGTAAATTCAGTTCCTCACTTCTCCAGAAGATATGCAGAGTAGTGAGAGAAAGGAGCGCATAGTCTTGATTCTGAAAACTTCTGAAACTCCCTGGAAAGCAATGTGGTAGAGCCATGGGTCTCAATCTTGAGTATGCCTAAGAATTGGCTACAGACTCCTGCGTCCTTCCCCTGAGAAATTTTGATTTGTTAGCTTTTCGGTGAAACCGAGGAATTCTGCATTTTCAATTCTTCCCCAGAAGATTCTGATGCAGGTGGTCCCTGGACCACACTGACTTGGAGACTGGCAGTCTGGTGATTACCTGGCTACAACCTGCCAAAGTTACCTTATCCCTAAACAGGATTCCTTCTAAGAGGGAGGGGCTTTCCCCACTGGATACTCCCAGACCTTAACCCTTTCTCCTCATTGTTTTCCTAAGGCCTGTGAGCCTTTCTGCCCTTGACCATGGCATCATCTACTCACCACAAGGAAAAGAGGCTCAGGATGTAGGGACTGGCTAGATCTCTGCTTCAGGATGGCACAGTCGTCCCTTTCTTGGTACCATAACCCAACCCTGCAGAGTTTTCCTCAGGCCACTGGGAGCCCTACAGCTTCCCCTCACTAGGATGTGAAGGAACATTATCCCCTGGATGGGGCAGGCTCCTGGCATTGAGCAAGGATGGAAACCTCCTGCTCTGGTCACTTTTCTTTCTTTCCCAAAGCCTTAGAGCCGCCTGCCCCTGCACCTCCCACCTCTGCTACCTCGCTGTTTCAAGTGAACCGTAATTTCAGCCCTCTGAACAAAATGCAGCCCAGAGTGCCCCCCCCCACCAGTGCCCTGCACCCAGAGTTCCTGCCCAGCGCGCTCCCAGGGACACAGCTCTTCTTCCAGATCCCAGAGACTTTCCCCTGGGATAAACAGGAATTTGGCGATCCCTCTGCCCCCAACTCTGCTTTAAGAATCTCAGGGGGGACCTTGTTTACTGGCCTCTTTGAAGTTCTTCTATCCCCAAACCAAAAGAGGCGGAAACGGTATTCTGCAAGAAAGACCCACATTCTTAGCTTTTCCAACTGTATTGGGAAGAAAGGGTTTGGCTACGGAGTACTTCCTGTGTGTAAGAGACACTGTCCCTTGCCCTCCAGAGGCATCTTACTCTTCACGACAACCCATGAAATGTCACCAGGAAGCTGGTTCAGAGAGAGGAAGCCTCTTGCTCAAGGTCACACAGCCAGTATGTAAATTTGAACTTGGACCCTTAGACCCCAAAGCCTTTTGCTGACTCCATCCTGCTGCTAGATTGGGTGACCTGAAGAGAAAATACAACCAAACCTGAATGTTCCCCGCCTGCCTGGGTCAGAGCCCAGGGGGTGTGTAAAGATAGGTCTCTGTCTGTCTCCCCCGGGGAGAAGGAAGAGCCTGATAGAATACATGTTCAATTATGCAGAATGGTTCAGGAATCGGGCAATCTGGTTAATAGTTATCATATTTCTCATGAATGAATTACCATTTTTAAAGGAATCAGAATAGCACAAAACACATTTAATACAAACTAGACTGAACATAAATGAGTCTTACTTTGATGGGCCAAAGGCACTTAAGGACTCTAGGGTGTCTCAGGGACAAAATTATAAAGCTCAATGATGACTGTGCAACATAGAAAAAATGGGGTTATTTTAGCTTTTGGGTTGTTTGAATTCTAAATTAGTGGGAGCCTGGTTTTATTTTCAATTTTTGGACAGAATTTCTGGGCACCCAAGTGCTAAGGTCTCTTGTTGGGTAAAGGAAGGACTGACTTTATGGAAAAACAGTAGGGTTATTTTGGGGGCAGACGGGGGGCAAGGCAGATGCCAGGACTGGGACCCAGATGCAGACAGGGCACAGCGGGGTAGGGTCTATCTGAGCTCTTTTCCATTCCCACACCTCTCCTGAGTGGGGCTGTGGCCCCCACTCCCACACTCCTGTGCCTGCCAAGCAGACAGACGCCTGGATAAATGACAGCCAGGTTCTGACATGCTCCATCCGGGTGCTGGCAAGGGGCAGAGGTAGCTGGAGAGGGGGGCCGACTCTGCGGAGCTGCAAGATACCCTTGCTTCTGGCCGGGTATGCTACAAGCCAGGCTCCCTTGTGGCCTCTGGTGCCACAGCTGTAGAGTCAACAGCAGGCAGCTAGCCCCCTCCCCAGGGCAAGACTCAGGGCTGGCAATTTGAACATTTTAACCGAATTGTGCAAAAAGCTTTCCTCCCTACAAGCCGGACTCTCCTGCGCAACGCTGTCACAAACAATTTGGTGTATAAGCTAATTCCTGCTGCATGAGCCCAGGGTGGCAGCCCCCTCCCCTTGCCTTTGCTATGGATGAGTTCGCCTTCTGAATTCTCACTGGTCCCCGTCACCAGATGGGAAGCTAAGCCACCGCTCTGCCAGCCACCCCCCTGCCCCCCATGCTTGGCAGTTTAGTTCCCCAAAGCCCGGCCAGGTCCTCCCTCCCCTGGCCCTTCTCTTGCCGGCTTGCTATCGGCCGGCTAGCTTCGGCTTGGTGCCCACTCTCCCCGCCGTGAACCCAATCCTCCTCGGTGGTGGCATGTAGGGTTTCAGGACTACTCTCGTTTTTCTGGTGGACAAGAGGAACCGTGCAGGTGGCTGGTGGAAGAAACAGGCTTTATGGGGTTTTGTTCTTGCTGGTCGTAGGGTCAAGGGTGATGTTGGGCTGAGAGCATTGGGTCTGAAATGCAAGCTGCTGAGCAGCGTGGGATGGCCCGGCTAAGCCCATGCCTCTCTCCCTCTTTAGGCAGGGGTGCTGTGCTCAGAAGGGCCTGGCCTATCGACTGACTTCCTGTGCTGGGGGAGCAGGGCACTCAGCAGGGCTGCTGAGGGGAAGGCTGAGGTGGTAGACACAATATTGTAAATTCCTGTCTTTTTCTCATTGTGGGGCTGACAACAGCTCCCTAGTGCAACCGAGATGCTTCCTGCTCTTCCCAGAGCACCCTGCACCCATCTGCCACATGGGGGGAGCAGTGCTGAGCCCAAGGGCTTGGTGTCAGAGCAGCTCAGGGTCCGAGGAGTCTGAGATGGCCATGAGCCTGGTCTGGGTTTAAATTCCACCGTCTCTGCCTGGGTGCAGATGGTTAAGCGTCTGCCTTTGGCTCAGGTCATGATCCCGGGCTCCTGGGATCGAGCCCCGCATCGGGCTCCCTGCTCAGCGGGGAGTCTGCCTCTCCCTCTCCTTCTGCCTCTCCCCCTGCTCATGCTCCCTCTCTCTGTATCTTTGTGTCTCGAATAAATACAACTTTTAAATGCCACCTTCTCCCCACCATCCCCTAATCCCATCCCTTCACCCATCTCCAAATAGCTGCAGGTAACATTCACTCCTACCTGTGCATTTCTTAAAACGTAACTGGTCCCTTTGCACAGAACTCCGCCAAGTCAGTGTACCTGTTCAGGAGCTCCATGGCACGAGAGGCCCACAAGCATGCGACAGGTATGTGTTAGTTCATGCAGTGCCCGTGCCCCAGGGGGCTGCACTCTGGGGTCATATCTCCTGGGAAGCAGCAAGCTTGCCCTGGGAGGTACCACGCCGAAAACAGCTTCACATTAACCAGGGTGATCCAAATGTCACCACCCACCAGGGCAACTGGCAACAATGGGATTCCAGTGAGTCAGTCTTTGCCTTTCTGCTGAGATGGGGGTGTGGGCATAAAGGGCCTAACTGCTAGATTTCCCTTCCCACAGAGAGAAGGCTGGGGGAGGCAGGAGAGCCGGGAGGGGGCTGTCAGTCAGCAGCTGCTAATTTCTATTCATTATAACTTTTTTTTAAGATGTGCTGAGACGAGGTGACGCCCATGTGTGGGCTTCAGGTGGGAGGGTGGGGGGAGGGAGTCAGGCATCTCGCGGTTTGATGTAGGGTGTGGTACTGTGAGCCTTGCACCCCGAGGCTTGAAAGGTGGCTTTGCAGGGCAGGGGAGAGCTGAGCCAAAAGGCCTCATGATGGATGATGGCCACTAACATACCAACTCATACCCGGGGCGGGGGGGGGGGGGGGTCGTGGCCGGGGTGGGCAGCGAGAGCCAGGCACACACAGTAAACACGTCACCCCCGTGCTCTGCCTTGGGCCATTTGGAGGAGTGGTCAAGGGCAAGCTGAATAGACTCCATTCAGATCCCAGCAACATCACTTCCCAACTGTGTGACCTTGGCAAGTGACTTCACCTCCCCGAGCCTCAGCTTTCTCTCCTATAAAATGAGGCTCTTCAGGCCTGTTACGGAGTTAGTATGAGGATTAGGTGAACGCAGTGTGGCGAATATCTAGGGGAGCCCCCGGCTCACGGTAGGGACTTAATACGTGTGACCGGCCGTCCTCAGCAAGATCAGTCACCAGGGCTCGGGGCTCAGAAGGACTAACCGGCCCCACTGTCCGAGGTAGCCGGGAAGCTCCCTGAGGCCAGGCGCGCCCGCCAGGCCTGAAGGAGAGGCCCCAGTCGTGGCGGGGGTGGGGGGGGTGGGCGCACGTTAGTTCACACCGAGCTGCACGCTCCATGCTCCGCGCCAGGCGCCACCTACTGCACTAGTCGCTCTCGGGCCGGTACAGGTACCGCATCATCAGGCTGTCCACTTCCTTCCTGCGCTGCTTCTCCTCCTTCCGAGACTGCCGAGACCGCCGGCCGGCCCGGCCCGCCGCCTCCTCTTCTGCAGCTGGGCCCTTCTTCACGCTCGAGCGGCTGTGGCCTGACACGGTGGAGCCGCTGGAGGTCGACGAGGACTCCGACTCGCTCTCCGTCCGCTCTCTTCTCGATTTGGATTTCTTCTTGCTCTTTCGCGAGCGCCCCTTCTTCCGCCGCTTGGGCTCCGAGGACTCCTCGGAGCTGGAGCTGGAGCTGGAGCTGCTCCGTCTCCTGCTCCGGCCCTTGCGGCTGCTGCGGGGCCGGGAGACATCGGCGGCCGAGGCTGAGCGGCGGATGCTGGCCGCCCGCACCGGGAGCCGCAGCTGGGCGCTGCGGACACTTTGGATGCTCTTCCGGTCATCCTCCTCCGAGTCGGGCTCCAGGCTGCTCCTCTGGAACTGGACGGGCTTGTAGCTCAAGACCTCATTGATGGCGGCCTCCAAGTCGGGGTCCAGGTAAGAGTGATGGCTGACCGGGCGGATGCCGGAGCCAAGAGGCTCGTCCGCGGCAGAGGCTGAGCCGCGTGGCCGCGGTGGCACCGACAGACTGCGGGCCAGCGACGGGTGGCTGTACTGGGAGTGGACCTCGCTCAAGGCCACACTGGCTCGGTCATCCCACGCATCCAGGCAGCTCTGGCCCAGGGACAAGCGGGAATCGGGGCTGTCCCGGCCCAGGCCCGAGGCCCGGCTCAGGGAAGGACTGAGGGTCCTGGAGAGGGTATCTAGCCGGGAGGCGCTGCGCCGCGAACTGGGGGAGCCCGAGAGCGAGAAGCTCATGGACGAGCGCGCCCCGTCCTCACCAGAGCCACGCCGTGTGGCCGAAGAGGCCCGGCTGGTGGGGGCAGAGACTGTGGAGGCCCGGTCGAAGTCTGAGCCCCACTGCTTCTCCAGCCCCCGGCCCAGGCGGCTCGGGGCCTCGGAGCCGGCAGAGCCGCCTTCGTCCGGCTCCTCCCTGGGGCGCGTGCGGGTCTTCCGGGGGGGCCTCTCGGGGGAGGCGGGCCTCTCGCTCAGGGTGGTGAAGAGCGAGTCCTCATCCCCGGTGCCCCCGATGGAGTCCTTCAGGGTGAGCCGTTTCCGGTAGCTCAGGGAGCTCAGCGCCGAGGCCGGCCTCTCCTCCGCCCCCTTGCCCTCTTTGCTGGAGCTGTTGAGGGCCGTTCTAGGGGAGGGAGGTGAGGCCGGGAAGAGAGAACCAGCAGTGGATTAGAGGTAGCACAGAGAGAATGAGAGAGAGAGAGAGAGGAGCCTGCATGAAACCCAGGGAATAAAGACACAGGGGGAGGGAGGCAAAGGGAGCAACCAGCAGCACCCGGAAAAGTGGCAGTGAGAGCACTGGAGGAAATGAAGCAAAATAATTTGCGTCAGTGAAAATAGCTTCATGGAGAATGTCATGTAAATTAGACCATTGTTCTATTTCATCACTTTTCCCCCTCTAAAACGTTTAGTTCAATTTATTTCATTGTCAACTACCTGGAGCCTTGTGCCACGCTGCGGTGAACGGCAGTGGGGCGGGGAAGGCAGCATTATCTGCGGTAACAAAATGTTGTTTGGCTGAATAAATTAAACCAATTAGAGGGGGCCGTGGGGTGCTGGTGGTGAGTGAGGGGCTGGACTTGGGAAGAGGCCTCAGGGGAGTGGGAGGAGGGGGGGGATTACTTGTCAACCCAGCCTGCCCCGCTGACTCTGGGAGGGGGGTGGGGAAGGGTGTGCCCTGGGGGGGGGCGGGGATCAGGTTGGCTCTGAGTTGGGGAGAAACTGGGAGGCAGTGAGGAATGGGGACCGTGGAGCTGGATTCCAGTGGGAGCTGTCTGTGTGATCGTAAGACGGACTGCGCTGGACAAAGGGGGAATGAGTTCCTGCAGGGGATGGGTGTGAGCAGGAAGCATGGGGGGGGTGCGGTGAGGGGACCTGGTGAAAAGATCAGAGGAAGGAGAGAATGGGCAGAGAAAGAGCAATATGGCCATGATAGGCGAGTCAGGGGGACCAGTGCCTTTTCTGCTGCTCGTCCCGTTAAGATTTCAGAGGTCCAGAGCCGGCTTGAACCAGCCCTGTCCAGGGTCGTGGGGTCTACAGACTCCTTATGCCCCATTCCAGTCTTGATTCCGGGCCCCAAACTTTCTGGTGGTTCAACCACCTTTTGTTGAATGAGTAAGTGGGGATGAAGTCAAACCTGCAGCAAACCAAAGCCTGGTGCCTGGTAGGAAACCATTACCTGGGAAAAACAAGGGTGCCGCAGACCCCGACTAAGAAGACACTGAGCCTCCTGTGCTCATTCCTCATGCTGGAGGCATGCCTGGGCCCCGCATACACATGCCAGGCAAGAGAGGCCGGTACCAGAGGCCTGGCCTCTCCAGGATCGAGGCATTGCTCCTTTATCCCTGGCACATGGGGTGGCTTTTCCTCCTAGCTCAAGGCCACGTGCTCACCTGGAACTCTTCAAGCTGCCATCATCGGAAGCTGCCTTGGAAGGCCCCTTGTTTTTCGACAACCATGACTTGACCCCGTCGACCCGGTCCTCCAGCTCGGAGTCCACATCGGAATCCCCCTCGCTGTGGGATGAGGAGCAGAAGGGTAGGCAAGGCCGGGGAGGAAGAGCTCACCCGAGGCCCAGTAGGGAGTGCTGAAGGGGCAGCAGATTTGCCTTGAGGTGGGGGTGTGATGCGGGGTGGCATGCACATCAGTGAGTCAGAGAGCAGAACAAGGGAGGTTAGACGGGGCGCCCCATTCACGAGGACCCTGCCCCACTCAGTGGGTGACACTTATGAGAGCCACCAAGAGGACCCTGAGGAGCGTAGAGGCACCTCCCATTCTACTTTCGCTGACAGACTGCTGTTGAGCCAAACAAACCCAATGAGGATAACAGGGAAACCATCCATTTAGGAGTTCCAGCTAAATGGCCGCTGGTTAAAAAGACCAGTCCCAGGCCATATGCTAATCCCTGAGGCCCACTCCATTTCTTGTCTGCCCACTCCCAGAAATGTGGCCACAGCTGCGGCCATTTCGCATACCTTCACTGCGAGAGCCAGACTGCGGGCCATGGGGTGGGGGTGGGGGGGCGGGAAGGGCATCGTTATGCCTTCACTTAGCTTGAACTGGAGGCTCCTTGGCTGATGGCGGCGCTGAGTGCGACCGGCCAGATCCCAGACCACCCTGCGACTTCCCTGGCCCTTAAGAAACAGAAGGATGAGGAGGGGGCATCCGCCATTTCCTGAGGTGCTGGCAACGGCTCTGGGATTCAAACTGCGTCCTGGAGATCCATTTGAGCCCCAGAAAGTCCCAGACAATGGCTGTCTCTCCCAGGCTCCTCTTCCCTCCCTCAGGCAGCCTCTAGCCCTTCCTCCTCAGTTGTGCGTCTGGCCAAGCCGGCCTGAGCCCTCTCTACCGGCAGAAAAGCCCCAAGGAGTCCGATTTGGAAGCTGGAGTCGTGGTGACTCCTTCACAAAGCAGCGGGGGCTTAGGGACAGCTTCTGAGTGAGAATGCTTCTAGAATTCTGCAAAATGTCTGCTCCCACATTCCCCTGCTACAGAGATGCTAAGGATTTTTCCTTGATATAAATTTCCTTTCATCTGTGTCAACACGAGCAGCCCCATTCCTGAATTATGTTCTTGAATAAATAGCCATACAGGCATGTGTGTGCGTGCATGCATGTGTACACAGACACAAAGACACACAGACACACACACACACACACACACACAAACAGCAAAAGCTGACTGATTCAGTGATTAGTCTTCTAAAATTCCTGTGTAAGGAGTTTGACAAAACCCAGACACACACAGACACAAAGACACACAGACACACACACACACACACACACACACACACACACACACACACAGGAAACCACCAGACTCCATTCTGGGGACTGTGAGAGAGCATGACCTGTTGGGAGGGGAACAAAGAGGCATATTTTATGGGCTTCCACCAAATACAGAATTATAACAAGGACAAGGCTGGCTGATGGCCCGGGTAAACAGGAGTTTAGCAGAGAGCCCCGAAACCACTAATGCAAGCCCCGTGCCTGTCCGAGCTTGGCAGATTTACTGTGGTGCATGGGCCCCACGGAACGCCAATACCACCTGATTTATACACCCGTGCAAAAAACCTCCTTCTCTAGCTTCAGAGCCTTTAATTTATCACCCCCGTTCATAACCATATTGATTGCCTTTAGAAAGGAGGTGCTGTATGCATCGCAAAATCTATGTCTACATGTTAAAAGTGTTTCTGTATAAATCTCCCCTAATACTGCACTGTTTACTGCTTTCATTAAGGTTATGGCAATAACAACTGTATCTCTAAGTAAATCGAAACATTATTTTTCTGCTCGCCTTAGCACACTTACTCGCTCTCGCTCGATAACTTGGGAGCTGGGGCCCAGAGCTGCTGAGCACGGAGCCACACCACCTCTGCCATCAGCGGGACTGTGGTGAGGACTGCACGCCCCAGTGCGGCTGCGTGAGTGCACACCAGGGTGTGTGTGCGCGCGCACGTGTGTGCATGCACGTGCCCATGCCTGGCAATGGTTTAGAAGATGATCTTAAATGCGCATTTTATCAGCCCTCGAAGCTCCTCCAGCCCAAGGATGGCAGGGCTGGAACACACAGGGGACAGAGTGTCGTGGACCCAGAATGCGAATTTTCCTCCTTCCATTCAGAGCAGCGAATGGATGGAGACGCCAGCCTGCCCGCCCTCACCTTCCCTTTAGTTTCAAGCATATAGATGGTGTTTAGGTTCTTTTCCTTAAATAATCAGGCCCCTAAACAAACTCCAGGGGCAGGCAGGCTCAGGGGGCAGTTGAAATTTTAAATGGTCGGAATTAAACCCCGAGTCAAATACAATTTATGTCCAGGCTCATGTGCTATTAGTTAACTGGGAGCCGAATCGCGGGGGAACAAACACACGGAGACAGGACGGCGGGGGATATTAATTGTGTGTGACAACCGGGCTCCAGTGGCCCTCTATCACTGTTACACACTATTACATTTATCATTAGCTCTCCCGGAGTCCTGTGCACTGCCGCCCGCCCATCCCGGCCAGGGGAGGAGGCCTGCCAGGCAGGAGAGAGTAGGGGGAGGAAATCCAATGCCACGCTAAAAAAACAACCTCCAAACAAACAGCCCTGAAGAACTCGAGGGAGGATCACTCTGATCCGCCTCCAGGCCTGCGCCTCTGCACCCGCTGTCCGGCTCCCACCCAGAAAGAAGCAATCAAAGAGAGAAGGGGGATTTCCTGGGCTCCCCACCATCTGACAGATGACAGCACCAGCGCAAGCGCCCGGGGCCTCCCTCTGCCCGAGGTGCCCGCAGGGAGCAAAGGAAACACGTCGGGCTGGGTTCCCTTCGCCTGCCCCTGTGGAGCAGCCCGTGACAGCCTGGCTGGATGCCTTCTCCAGACAAGGAACTGCTAGATGCCCCACACCTTGTACCCTTGTCTGCCACAGGAAGGTGGTGGACCTTTTCAAAACGAAAGCTGCCTGCTTCTTTCAGGTGGTGCAGGCTCCAAAGGAGCCCCAGGGTGTGGACAAATCCAGCCCAGTCAGATTTTCCCCCAGGGAAACACGCCGGGGAGGCAGCTCTGCCTGCTTTCTGAGGGAGGAGAGGGCTGGAGCTCAGGAAGGCAGACTGAAGCTGAGCCCCCTTTTCTGTGGGAGCCCCCATCCTGCCCGTCCAGGGCGTGAGCACGCCTCACTGCCTGCCCTCCACCTCTGACGCAGGGCCCGGCTCCTCGCCTTGCCTCTCCTCAGGACAGAGTCAGCAGTGTTAGCGAGGGACTAGCTTGGAGGAGGTGTGAGAGGCTGTGTCCACGTGCGGCATGCAGCGGGGGCCCTGGGTGGGAGCCAGTGTTAGGGGCGGTTAGACACCACGGGAGAGGCAGAGAGCGCGTGCGCTCCAGTCCTCACGGTTTATTCTTTCTTTTCTGATACTTTGTCACCATGTCCTGCAAACTGGAAACAGAAAGAAAATGGTGGGCAAGAGGGCCAGAAGAAGAAGATCGAAAAATCAGTGGGCAAACCAAGGTGGACTTCTCCCCTGAGGACCCCTTTTTCTTCAGCAAGAGATGGCTCTGACTGGCTGAGACCAGCTGGGGGTGGGGTGGGGGGAGTGGCAGTGCTGTCTTCAGAGGGAGGTCTGGGTTGCCCTGGGGCACCGTTTCCCTGCCCTGAAGGAGCAGGCTCCCTGTGTGGGCCGGGACCTGCCTGCAGGATGGGGCACCAGCGCTCGTGCGGGAAGGGGGCAGGTCTGGGGGGCCGGGGTTCTGTCCAAGGCAGCCCTGGGAGCTTCTCCAGGGCCCGACCCTCACCCCCCGGAGCTACCGGTCTACCTGCCCTGTGACTTCTTCCTCAGCCTCAGACTACAAATCTCTCTTTCTCTCTCTCGAACCATTCCCTGCGTGGGTTTTATGAGAGAAAATCTCTGGCATGGTAACAAGGCACAACAGGCCTTAAATCTCTGCTTTCCCCAGAGTGGGGCAGGCACCATCAGAAATGCAGCTAAACGGGGGAATAACTCATCGTGAATAGGCAGAGCTGGAGAGCCAGGTTCCTGGGAGGCCTGGGGAGGGAGGACAGGGAGAAAGAGGGAGGGCGTCTCAGCCAGGGGGCATCTGTCCTGCCCTTGGTCAATATAGGACAGGGTCCATGCTGGGGGCTGGCAAGGAGGGAAAGGTGGGCTTGTGGCTCGGTGGCAGGGAGACAGAGGTCGCGGCTGTTCTGCCTCGTGGCCTGCTCCAGAGGTGGTCAGAGGGCCTTGGTGCGGGCCGCCGCTGCCACAGAGGACCCCTCACCTGGTGATGAGGTCCTCATTCTCGTCGCTCTCCATCTCGTCCTCGATGGCAGCCTGCAGGTCCCCAATGCGCTTGAATGCCAGTTTGAGATCAGCCTGCAGGCTCTGGTTAGCAGCCTCTAGGCTCTCCAGATCCATCTCCTAGGAGGAAAAGTGGGCAGTCCGGTTCAGCGGAGGGCTAGTCTCTCATCCAGGTGCTCCAGAAAAAGCCGGCTTCAAGTGTCTCCCAGCCAGGCAGGAGCTCTGTGGAGGCTGCTGCAAGCCTGGGCTCGCCAGATGGACACTCGGGTCCCGTCCTCGGCCCCTGGGCCTGCCTTCGGGACTTCCTGAACCGTCTCCTTGCCACGTTCCTCTTCCTTCCCAGGATCTGAACTCGGGTTTCTTTGTGGCCCGCCCCCCCACCCGCCCAGCGGGGAGGTGTGTGCTTAACAACCACTCAGCTCCGGGGAGGGGGTGGGGAGGCCGCGGGTTGGGCTGCATTACCAGTTCATGCTTCTTGCGGCTCGCCTCGGCCTCCTTCCTGGCGAGCTCGCCCATCTCCTCCTTGGTGTCCCGGAGCTGCCGCTGCAATCTCTTGTTCTGTTCCTTCTCCCGGTTCTCAGCTGCGGTGCGCTGATCCCGCTCCTCGGTCAGCTTCTCCATGTTCTCCTTGAGCCGGCTGGCCAGGCTCTGGACAGGGAGGTAGGGAAGAGAGGCCCATCAGCTAGGCCGGGACAGGGGGTAGGCTCTGACTCTGAGCTCTGCAGTCAGGAGGCCTGGGGTCCAGCTCTGGCACCACTGCTCACTAGTGGCTGGGCAAGAACGAAAGCCCTCTGAAGAGGCTTCCTTTGCCTTTCTATAAAATGGGAAAATAACACCTACTCCCTCAGGGTCTTTTTTTTTTTTTTTTAAGTTTTTATTTATTCATTTGAGAGAAAGAATGAGCAGTGGAGTCAGGAGGCCTGGGGTCCAGCTCTGGCACCACTGCTCACTAGTGGCTGGGCAAGAACGAAAGCCCTCTGAAGAGGCTTCCTTTGCCTTTCTATAAAATGGGAAAATAACACCTACTCCCTCAGGGTCTTTTTTTTTTTTTTTTAAGGTTTTATTTATTCATTTGAGAGAAAGAATGAGCAGTGGAGGGAGAGGTAGAGGGCAAGAGAGAGAGAGGGACAGAGAGAGAGAGAGAGAGAAGCAGGCTCCCCGCTGAGCAGGGAGCCCAATGCAGGGCTCCATCCCAGGACCCCGGGATCATGACCTGAGCTGAAGGCAGACGCCCAACCGACTGAGCCACCCAGGCGCCCCACCCCTCAGGGTCTTTTAAAGATTGAATAAGGTCAGGTGCGTGAAGGCAACTGCCATGCTGAAAGGTGCCATCATCATCATCATCATCATCATCATCATCATCATCATCACTACCAAGGCCAGAGGAGTGCTCTGGCTACAGCCTGGGCCTTCCATACTGACACCGTGTTTGGGGCCTCCACAGTCAGCCCCGCTTCCCTCAGACACCCTGAACCCAGCAGCTCCGGAAGCTAGATCCTGCACTCGAGGTAAATGGTTCGAGAGTTCCTGGGTTAGGAGACTAAAGAGTCATCAGAGTCTAAGCACATAGCCATCCCTCTAAGCCTGATGCATCTCACTTCCTCCAGAAACTTGGAACACATTTTTCCCTACCAGGCCATAGGCAAGAAATGACCTGGAGGTTGGGACAGGGTGTGAGGGAAGGACCTGCTTCCGGTTCGACCGCAGACGGGCCCTGGGGTCTCCACCTCCGGGCCCCCCAGCCTCTGTGTCTCTAAAATAATGGCACTAGACTACGCGATCTCTAAGGGCTGTTTGTGTTTAACGTTTTGTGTGTCTAAAGGACGATCCTGCCTTTCTGGGCGGAAGGGATACAGACATAAGGCTGAGGAAAGGGTCTGAGGCCCAGAAGAAAAGGAGACAAGTGCACACACAGATCTGCCCCAGAGCCACCAGATCAATGGCTTCTTCAGCCCCTCGATAGCTCTGTGACCACAGGCAACCTCCTTAACCCTTCCTGCATGCAAAATTGGGATGAAAATATTACCGACCGTCCTGGGGTCGTGGTGGGTGGAACAGGAGCATTACTAAGTCTCTCCTAACTCTCCCTGGCTCTCCTGAGGACCGGGACCTTGTCTTGGGACGTTCCGCCGTATTCTCTTCCTATGTCAAGGGGACTACTGTCCTCTCAATGCTCGCTGTCAGCCCCATAGTCACCTGTTCCCATCCCTACCCTGGTGCCGGCTCCGCGGCCTCAGGGGCTGCTGGGGAGGCGGCAGGGATGCTCCTCAGCACGCACACCTGTGAACACAGTTCTCACGGAGAACCTTCAGTGCTTAGACACGTGTACAAGCTCGAGCGGGAGGAGAACTTAAAAATAGGGCGAGAGGAGTGTTCACCCAGAGACAATTCTGCCTGCCTCCTTCTTCCTACCTGCTCTACCGGGGAGGGCGGGGCTGGGCGTGCTGGCTTCGGGAGCCTGGAACTGAGAGGGCTGCACTTGGAGCGTGGAGATTCCGGGTGGAAGGAAGAACAAGCCAGAGCAGAAGAGGGGCGAGCAGGAACAGCAGAAGGGTGGAAGGCAAGAGTGACGAGCAGAGGGAGGGGGGGAGGGGATGGGGAGAAAGGAAGAAGTGGGGGGAGGGTGAGAAGGAGAAATGCAAAGGGACAGGAAAGAAGGGGGCAGACATGGAGACGAGCAAAGAGAGAGGAGTAAAAGCAGAGCCGGGAAGGATGGGAAGAAGTGAGGAAAAAAGGCAATAAAAAGGGGAAGGGAGAGAGAGCGCGAGCAAGCGAGCGGTGGAGATGAGAGAACAGACTTCAGCCCTCACAGAAGTGGCGCCATCCGCTGCATATTTATGACCCTGCCAGAGAGCAAGTGAGGGGACCGGCGGGGGGAGCTCATGGTGGAGGAAAATATGAAGACAAAAAGCTAAGCTGCTCCGGTCCCTTGGCAGAAAGCAAAAACGGAAACAGAATGTAAAGCAGGCTGGCTCCACGGTGCCCAGAGAGCAGGCGGGGCGGGCGGGGGGAAGGCACCCGCCCCGTCAGCTGGCCTGGCAGCTTGGCGGGGGGGGGGGGGGGGGGGCGGCCTCTGAGGAGCGGCCGTGGCCCGCCCAGCGCTGCCGAGCATGCGTGGCTTGCTCTCGGCCGGCCGCAGACCAGGACGAGGGTGCACCCACCTCCAGCCTCTTCACTTGGGTCCTTTCGAACTCCAGGCGGGTCTCCAGCTCTCGGATCTTCGCTTCCTGCCTGCTCACCAGGGACTTGTCCACCATGGACTGTTCCAGGAACTCCACTTGGCTCTGGAGGGCTTGGAGCTGGGGGCGGGGACAGGAAGAGAAGAAAGAACTGAGCCCCGAGGGGAGGGGGCAGAGTGTGGGCCGGCAAGATATCACCATGGTGACCAGAAGGTGGAGGGAGGGATGCACAGGGGAGTTGGAAGGATGGGGCCCCGAGCCAGAGGCACTCCCCACCCGGCCCAACGCTGGCAGATTTTGCCCTTTGGAGAGAAAGGAAAAAGCCAAGGACCAGAGAGGGAATGGAAATGTGAAGTGAGGCAGCTGAGGCCAAAATGTCTACTCTGGTGATATGGCTCCAGGCCTAGGCCTTCACATGCGTTGATGCTGCTCTGTGGATTACTGACGACCGAGGGGCGCTTGCTATCCTATAAGCTTGGGGGTTCGTCCCTACATACAGGGACCCCGCACCCTCTTTCTACCAAGGGAGACCGTGGTCCCCACCTTCTCCTGCAGCTCTTGCTTCTCCTTGTTGGCTTCTTCTAGCTGAGCCTGGAGATCGTTCATCTGCGCTAAGTCTCGCGAGGCCTGGGAAAGGAGTGAGCGCTGAAGCGGGATCCCCCGTGAACACAAAGCCCAGCCTGCCACATCGCACGCCCGGTGCTGTGCCAGGGCCCGCGGGCCTGCCGCGCCCAAAAGAAGTGGCCTGTGGGGGGCTCCTGAAGAGGACCACAGGGACAGCGTCTGTGGTGTGGGGTGTGGTGGGGCACCTGAGCCACGGCCGCCTTGTGCTTTTTCATCAGCTCGTTCATGTCCTCCTGATCCTCTTCCAGGCGGCTCTGGATCTCGTTCTTCTCACGCTGAAGGCGGCTCAGCTGCTCCTCCAGCTGGACGGAGGCAAGACAGATCAGAGGGCATCAGGCCTCGCATGCCTCATGGCACCGGGTGGCAAGTCTGAACTTCCCCACGCCGCCTCCAACGGGACGGGGGTGATGATGGGGCTGGGCCCGGCCACTGGAGCGGGGTCCAGACCCAGTGGCGCTCAGGGAGCTGAGGGGAAGGCTGTCTTTGCTGCACAGGCAGACCCTGGGCTAAATGACAGCTGCTTCCTGGCAGCTCTTTGAAGGCTAATGAGAAGGCAGAAAAGGTCTGCCCAGAACAAATGACCCATCATCCGGGCACCAGCAATCTAGGCCCTAACCTGCATGCACTCTGCCCCCTTCAGGCCTCGGGGAAGGGCCCCTCGAATGTGCGAGGCTCTCTTGGCTTGGATTCTCATCTCCCCTGGGATGGCCTGCTCCCCGGCCATCCGGCCCCATGGCCAGTCCACTCCTGGGGGGAGGGGAGGAGACAGCCAACAGCAGCTTGAGGAAATGAATGAATCTATTAGCCTGTAATTCCAAACCAAAATCACTGTGTTGGCTCCCTCTCGGCCCCATCCATCTTGTTAGCCGGCTGTGGGGAGCTGGGGAAGCCTCCGCCAAGAAATTTATTAACTCGGATTTAAATAAAATGGTAATTTTATAACAGCCTTTTTTTTAACACAATTAAAGAATTTGAATTACTCACCTGAAAACTGCTGAGGAGCACAAATGTCATAGAGATAAATCAGGCCCGGGAGATTGGCATCTCTCAGCAGATGGGTGACCAGCTTGGTGGGGGAGGGGGACCACGGAGCCCAGAGCCAAGCCCAGCCTCCCCGCTGCCCCATTCCCTGCCCAAGGAGGTACTGGTGTCCGCATCCCAGTAATGCATTCCCGGGGCCGATGGATGGGCCGTGGGAGTGGTAGGGAATTAAAAGGGAAGCATTAAATAAGAGCTCTAATTAGCTGCCGCTTGAGCTTGTCAGTGGGCTGGCCAGGGGAAGGGGAGGGAACCCGAGCCATCCCATCCTCTTATCGGCGCTTCGGCTAATCTCCAGGCACCTGTTTACATCCCTCAGCCACATTAGCTGCCTTTATTTATGATGTCGAGGCCTGCGGCCAAGCTCCCACAGGCAGGTGGTTAAACAGGGAGATGGGCCCTTGCTGGCTCCCTCTTCCACCTCGCCCCCCTCCTGAGCCTCTGCTCTGAGTGGGGAGAGGCAAAGGAGGGGAGGCCCGCTCTCCCGGCAGAAAGCCCTGGTGTGAAGGGAGCTGGCTGGGGAAGGGCCCCCGTCCGTCCCCGCTCTACTCTCCCTCAGCAGCCCCCCCACACCCCCGCCCCTCACCGCTGTCTTGGCTTTGGCGATGTCTTCAATCTGCAGGTGCAAGTCTTCAATCTCCACCTCCATTGCCTTCCGAGCTTTCACGGCTGCGGCACAGGTGAACTCGGACTCCTCCAGCTGGACACAGGGCCGCCCCCAGCCCCAGGGAGAGACGTCAGCCAGGCCCAGGCAGCCGGAGGGCTGGACAGGGTGCTCGCAGGGGAGAAGGAGCCCAGGTGCTCTGTTCCCTTCAGACCCCGGGCCGTGGCCTTGTTGGGGCTGCGCACACGGGCGTCTCCCTGGGCAGGGAAGGCGGGTGCGGGGACCCATCCATGCCATCCTGGGGCTTGGCAGTCATGCCATCTGGCATGCACAGATCCTAGGAGTCCGGCGGCTATGCGTGGCTTCTCCCCCTCCCCTGTTACCTTCCTTCTCAAGGACTCAAGAATCCCCGAGAGGGGAAGGCAAGGAGAGAAAGAACTAAAACCATAAGCGTGGTTTGCCCCCTGGAGCTGACCACCTCCTCTCTGTCCAGATACCTGGTTCTTTAGCTGGGCGATCTCCCTCTTGCTGGGTGCATTGTTCTTCAGGTGGTCCAGCATGATCTGAGCGTCGGCCAGCAGGGCCTTGGTGCGCTTCAGGTCCTTCCGGAGCCGCTTCTCGGACTCCAGGTCCCGCTGGCTCACCTAGGTGCATGGCAGAAGCTGGGGTTCTGGCCTCCACCACAGAGCCTCTTCCTGTCTTCCCCACTCCTGCTGTTAACCCCTGCTCTCATTCTCAGAGCCCCCCGAACACACAACAACAGAAGCAGTGCCGGGGTCAGGCCAGGCAGTGAGAGAAGCCAGGGTGTGCTCTGTGTGGTAATGACCCCCATTCTCCATGTGAAGACAGTGGGCTCCACAGAGCCCGGCCCCCCTCACCTCTGCCCAGCTTAGTATCCCTGAGATTCACCTCAGGCTCCGCTCACCTGGTCACTCAGCGTGGCGAGCTTGCCCTCCAGTTCCCGCTTCTCTCGCAGCACCTTCTGCTTATCTTCGTACTCCTCCTCAAGCTGCACTTCCATTTGTTTCAACTGGAGGGCCGTGGGGACAGAGGACCGTCGGTCCCTTCAGTGTCGGGTGCCAGCCGGACCCCTTCCCTTCTGGATCTCCCCACCCCGACCCTGGGAAAGCTGTGGGGCGGGCTGAGCAGACCCCAGAGGGGTCAGACCCTGAATTCAAAGTTCCCAGGGTTTCAAAGCAGCCTGGGAGGGGGAGGAGGGATGGCAGGCCGTGCACCAGAGCCCCATGCCAGAGCGGGAGGCTTTGTTCCAGAGTGGGCAGGCCCTGCCGGGCCAGCCTCGCTGACTGCCCAGAAAGCAGGGAGCATGCGTCCCTCAAAGGACGAGCTTTCTCTATAGTCCCCGAGGGCACACATCCCAGCCAAGGCCAGGATCTCCAGTCCAGAATGGCAGGGGTGGTAGTGTGGCTAAGGTAGGGAACCTGAAAACCCCTTACTTTAAAGCAGTGATGGGGGAAGCAGGGTTCGTACTGGGCCCGTTACCTTCTTCTGACATGACTGCCGGGCCTCCTCCACCTCTTCATCCCGACTTTCCACCTCTTTGGAATGGGTCTGTCTCATCCGCTCCATCTCCATCTCTAGACGTAGCTTGGCCTGGAAGTGGTTGTGGGGAGGGACCAGGTTCCTTTCTGAGCAGCACCCCTGACCCCTGCCCACTGCGCCCTGATGGACAGCTCTCCCAGGGCTTGGGAGCAGGGAGTTTCTCTGCCAGCACACTTCCCTGAGCCCCCACCTTGCTCCTGCCACAGCCGGCTTCTCCAGAGAAGCCAACCCCCCTCATTGGATGTCTGATGCCGGCCCAGAGCAGGCTGCCAGAGGTGGGGGCAGTTGGGCAGCTTTTCCCTTTGGCCTTCAGGCTCTAGCTCTCCGAACTGACACAGTGGCTCAGTGGCAGGCCGCGTGGGCTCATGGCTTTCCGGCCGCCGGGCAGCCTGAGCCCCTCACCACTAGGGCTCAATCCAGATTTGTTCTTGTGGAAAGCCACACAAAAGCATAATTATTTTCACACTGTGTCTGGCACGGATCAGGTGCTCACTCAACATTTTGTGAGTAAGGGAACGAATGAGTGACTACACGTGGGAACTTGCCCCCTTCTGGCTATGCCCTGGGTTAGCTGTGGGGATGGCAGTGCCCCCCTCGGCCAGACCCTGCGGCACCTGCTCCAGCATCTGGATGGTCCCCGCCTGCTCATCCAGCTCCTCTTCCTGATCCTTGACTTTGGCCTCCAGGTCCCGGAGCTGTTTCTTGACCTTGGCCAGAGAGGCCTCATCCTTTGACTCTTGGGAAGAAATGTCCTGGAGCTCAGCCTCCAGGGAGACAACCTTCTGGGTGAATCCAGCAATGTCCATGTCTTTTTCCTGGAGCAAAAGAGAAGATGAGGCTGGCGTGGGACCAGCTCTTGCCTGAGGCGGGAGGGAGCAGAAGGGGCACGGATGACGGGTGGCCCACCCACCTCCAGTTGCTGCTTGAGGCTGAAAGCCTCGGCGAGGAGCGTGTCCTTCTCCCGCTGCAGCTTTTCCCGCTGTAGCTTCTCCCGCTGGGCCTCCTCATGCGCCTGGGAAAGCTCGCTGTCGAACCTGTGAGGGAGCAGGGACAGCCAGGGTGACTCCACCAGGGCAGGGAAGAGTCTGGGTCTCCAGCACCCAGAGGCTGCCAGGAAGCAGGGCCATGGATACGGACAGGACACAAGCAGAGGGGGGACCCCTCGCATAGCCCGGAAGTTGGGGGCAGCGGTGAGGTGACATCCAGGATCACAGGCCATCGAGGCCCTGCTAGCCACCCAGTCTGGGATGGGGGCACGTTTCACTGAGTGGGTCTAAGGAGCCCTTATACTAGGTGAGTCGAGGAGGGGCCCACAGACTGCTTCTGGGGAAGAGGTGGAGAGACTCCGCTCCATCGTTGTCTTGACCTTTCCCATTTCAACAGATCCAAGCATGCGGGACCAGGGTGAGGGCAGGGTGGGCACCGGAATGTGTAGAAATGGACGCCCTGCCTCATCTAACTCCTTTCCACAGTTCCACTTGGCCACTCCAGATGAGCAGCTGGCTCTAGCCCCCACCTCTGGGTGCCAGCCCCTGGCCAGGCCCACGTGGCCCAGCAGTACCCGTGTCCCCACCAGCACCCCGCACCCCTCCCAGCCAGAAGCCAGCAGTCCTGCTGGGCCACAGCCCACAGTCGGGGCCTCTTTCTTGGCTCTTCTACCTCCCAGTCTCCTATTTCCCCCACCCAGTGACTCTAAATAAGGAGCAAAATGCTGAAATTCCTCTTAACACCTTCCCCAAAGAGCTAATAAGGTTCCCTTCGAAAACTGAAAGGCTCCCCCCAACCCGACCCCACATCAAAAAAAAGGTAAGCAAACTCCGGGCAGCTGAAATGAAACCTAATAAGTTGCCCAGCAGGGAGCGCGGGAGATGGTAACTAGGCCAGGCTGGCACTGTCATGGGGGCGGGGGACTTGGGAGAGGGGTCCCACTAAGGGTGCCTCTAGTGAACGGGAGGGTGGGGGTAAAGGCGGAGAGGCACGGTACTGGAAGCTGAGGACTCCCAGTTCCTCTCACTTTGCAGGCGGCACCCAGCTGGGAGGACAGCAGAGTGCCCAGGAGGCCGAGGGTAACCCGGGGTCACTGGAAGGACTCAGCTCTGCCCTGCTCACCCCCTGGGTCGTGGGTGCGGGGCTGTCCCTTCATGAAGGCACCCGGGACCTCTGCCGAGAAGCCCTCCCCTGCAGAGGGGAACCAGGCGCTCTTCCCACTCCCTGGGGCACCCTGCTGTTCCCAGGGTGTGTGGGTTCCCCGGTGTTGCTACTAAAGGCGTCCCATTCCCATCCCCAGCCAGGGAAATTAATTTAGATTGGATTTGATCCTGTGAGGGCTGCCCCCCTCCTTTGTGTCATTACCATAATGAGATGGAAGTGGCACGGTAGTTCAACAACATTAGTCAGGAGAGTGTGTTTGTGTGGCTGAGGCAAGCGAGACATGGGGAGCTGGGTGGGGGCAAGGGGCAGGGAGGGGCACAAGTGTTTTCTGCACAGGGACTGGTGGAAGCTTCCTCCTTGCTGGGCCCAGGCAGGGTGACGGGCATACGCTACGGGTAGCAGGGTAGCAGGTCCGGGGCCGAGGCCTGAGCAGGCCTTCAGTAGGGATGGGGCCTGAGGGCTTCTCAGAGGTCAGGAGTGAGACCTGTTCGCATTCCAGGCCAAGGGACCCTGTCGCCAAGGCCCCTGGCCAAATTCAGGCCCTCCTTCCTTCTCTCCCCCCCGGAGGAGGCGGCAGGGAGCCCTGTCTGGGGCTGGTCTAGGAAGTCTCGTGTGCCTTACGGCAGGGGACCCACCCACCTCCTCTGCTTCTTCTCCAGCTCGTGGTTGCGGACCTGCTGGCCCTCCAGGTGCAGCTTGGTGTCCTGCAGCTCGCCCGTCAGCCGTTGGCACTTCTTCTTCAGCTGCTGCAGAACCCGCTGGCTCTCATCACTGTCTGCCTGCAGGTCCCCGAGCTAGGGCGCAGACGGGGTGTGGGGTCAGCAGCCAGGGAGAGGCCCGGAAGCATGCGTGGAGAAGGGGCGGGGGGCGAGCGAGGGAGAGATCCAGGGATGAGGGATGGAGTCAGAGACACGCAGGGACCCGAACACACTCCAACAACAGTTCGCCCTTGGGCATCCCCAGCCCCGAGGTGCTCCCAGAGCCCCGGCCTGCACTCCTTGCCCCAGCCTCACCCGCCTCTCCAGTTGCCTCTTGCTCTGCTGCTCCACCTCCAGCTTGTCCTCGAACTCCTGCTGGAGGCGCTTCTTGGTGAAGTCCACCTCGCGCATGGCTCGCTCGTACTTCAGGCGCCACTCGCCGCCTGGGGGGGGGTGGGGCAGGCAAGGGAGCACTGAGCGGAGGGGAGGAAGGATGGGACAGGGAGGGGCAGAAGGCGGCGTCAGCCAGAGGGACTCAGGAAGGTCTCTGGGAGGACGGCTTCCTCCCAAGCCAGGAAAAGACCAGAGAGGGCATGTGGCTATGTGTGCTGTCCTCTCCCCAGGGACCACCAGACCGTGGCCCTCAGACCCTGTCCTTATCACGGCTCTTGTGGCCCTCCGTGATAATCTCCTGCGCTTGCTGGCACCTCTACTTTCTCATCCATTTCTGTCACCGTAGCCTGGTACCAGCCCGCAGAAGGGAGACAGGCCGGGGCCCAGCTGTGGTTGCCCGGGGAGCGGGGGGCGGTACCGAGCTTGCTGCTCAGGCCCTGCCGAGCTCCTCTGGCCTCAGACCCACCTGTGTCATCATCATCCACCTCCCCGTTGATCTCAGCTGCCCGGATGAGGCGGGCCTCCATCACCTCCATCTCCATCATCTCCATCTGCTTCTTCAGCGCATCGTACTGGGTCTGCAGAAGGGAGGCTTGTGAGGCTGCCATCCCAGTTCCTCCCTCAGGACCAGCCACGGCCCACAGCCACGCAGACACGGGCACGTGCTTCCCCCAGGCAGACAGGGGTGCTGGGCCACCTGTCCCTGGCGGCAGGGGCGGGGGGCGGGGGAGCAGATGGACACCAGAGCGGTGGTGGTCACTAGCACGGGCCTGCCCTCACCTGCAGCTCCTTCATCTCCTTTTCGGCTCGGAGCCTCTCGGCGGCCTCCGCGTCCAGCAGCTGGGAGGCGGACTCTCCCGTGTTACGTTCGTCAGTCAGCTCCGATGTCAGCTCCGAGATCTGGGGTTGGGGGGAGGGAGTCGCTACCAGTTGAAATGCCTGCCTCGCTCAGCTGGAACCCCAGGGGGGCCTCCTGGGCCTGGCACCCTGCACGGGTGGGCCAGTTGGCCTGGCGCTGGGAGCCACTCACCCGGGTCTCCAGCCGGTCATTGTTGAGCCGAAGCTCGTTCCGCTCCTTCTCCACCTTCTCAAGCTTGTTCCGCAGCTGCTGGATCTCCTCCTAGGGTGCAGTAAAGAGGGCAAAGTGAGCCGGAGGCTCTCCGAGAGGTTGGCGCCTCGACTCTGCACCGTTGGGGTGAATGAAGCCGGTGAAGCTTGGGCCAGGACACAGGGAATAGGAAGCCCCGGCCTCCCAGGGGCTCCTATCCCTAGACCCTTCCCCAGATGCTGAGGGGACGCCTGAGATTTTATACCAAGAGGCTACCCAGCAGCTTAGCCAGCGCCCCAGAGAGATGCCTTCTCTTTGACGGGTATCGTTCAAGGACATCGGCTCTCTGGACTAAATAAAGAGCGCTTGGGAGCCCAAGACAAGCCGGCAAGACTTTTTGCCCACAGGGATGAACTAGTCCTTTTCCAACGACTTGGCCCTCCCTGAGCTGTTACGTACGTCTTTGTTCCGGATCTGCTCCTCGGACAGCTGTACCTCGATGAGGGGCCGCACGGTGGTAAAGAGTTTCCACCAGGCCCAGTCCTTCACCCCTTTGTTCTTCTTGATGTTCTTCTGCACACAGCGAATGGCCAGGTCCTGGATCTAAGTTGGGGGGGAGGGTGGTGCACAGCAGGGCTCTCAGGCCCAAGCCCAACCAGGACTCCCCCGACCCCCCCGGCTCCTCTGGCCACCCAGCCCTCGCTCCCAGCCTCTCCCCATCCCTCAGAGAGTGGGCGGCAGAGAGCCTGGCCCTGGGAACACCGCACTGGGCACTAACCGCTCTGCCGTCATTAGGAATAATTTCATCTGCTTTATTTGCTGCCTGATTATTTCCAGCACCCTGGCCTAGATGTGCTATAAAACCTAATCTTGCTGAAACACAAGAGGCGGTGGTGCTGGCTGTTTTATGGACTTACTAATAAGAAAAGGAGTCGCTGACACAGCTCCTTAATCTTCATGGAGGAGCCTGTGATCCAGAGCCCACCTTCGTCTAGGCGCTGCCCCCCACTCCGAGCCCCAGGACCAGGCCCCATGGCCCCAGTGCTGGGCATCACCAGCACGCTCGCTGGCACCAAGGAGCTGCCCATTCCCCACCCTGGCCCAGGGCATGGTGGCCCCGGGAGGTCCCTGCTTCTTCTCCCCCAGGTGACACTAACTCCTAGTCCCAAGACCAGCCTCCTGCCCCAGCATGTTCCCTTGAACCCCCCCCACCCCCACCCCACCCCGGGAACTCTGCTCTGCCATCTAGGCTGGGGAGTGGGACAGAGATACCCTGGAACAGCACCTTTTTCTTCTTGAAGTGCTGGCGGGCCAGGTAGCCCCTGCAGGCCGCCTGGAACAGGGTTAGGTTCCTGCTGGTTTGCTCATCCCGCTGCTCCTCCAGCCGAGCCAATGTGCCGGCCCGGAAGAACACCTGTGGGGAAGCAGGCCAGATGAAGGCGGGAGATGGGCTGGGGGCACAGGACACCAGCAGGCCCGGGAGGTGGTCCCTGGCCCTGGGAAGAACCTGAAAATCCAAGGGAACAAGAGAGGAGGGAAGGAGCACGGAGAGGCCCCAGTAAGGTTGAGGGAGGAGGGCCAGGCCGGGGGCTGGGGAGGTTTCTCCGGGAAGAGGAGGAGTAAGGTGGCAAACCTAACTTCAAAGAGAGATAAAAGGAGAGGGTAGTCAAAGGGAAGGTATCTGGGACAAGAAGGACGTAAAGCAGCCACAGTCAAATGGGGACAGGACACCCCTCAGCAACATCTATGGTGGTTTCTTCCCGCAGGACCGCCAGCCACACTGTCCGTGCCCCCTCTGCCCACAGCCCACCGAAGGGCCCAACCGCAGGTGCCAGCTGCCTGGGATCAGGCCAAGTGGATGTGGTGAATGTGTGTGGAGGAGAGAAAGTTCCAGAAGCCGTGTGCACAGAAAGGGTGGGGCCCCCTCCCCACTCCGGCTCCTCTCAGACAGCCTCCTCTTTCATGTGTAAGCATCCCACCCCCACCCCCCCACACACACCCAGGTTTCAGCTCACAAAAAAGCCAGGGGGCTGGGCGGGGGCTGGCCCAATCAAGGGACCTGTCCTACAGGTTTGGGGGCTGGAGGGCAGACGGGAGAGGAACCAGCTGGGCGCCCCCACAGCCAGAATTTCCTCTCGCTCTTTGGTGCTCTGAACTGGGGCTGGGTAGAGTCTTCCCTGCTAAGAGAAGAGGGGGAAATACACAGATGAGAGAAGACTCTGGGATCCTCACAGAGGGCAAAGAGACACCTAGGTGTGTGCCCACCTCCAGCCTGCCCAGAACACAGAAAATTCCCTTCTGTGGGGCAAAGAGCACGGGAAACACTCAGAGCCAGTATGTACAGTGTCCCTAGGCCTCCCTTCAGGGAATAAGTGGAGAGAGGGCCTACACTTTCTGCTGAGAAAGCGTTGCCTCTGGCGACTGCACAGAAACCTAGTCCCCTGGGGCTGGCCTAGGAGAAAGCCAGCTCAGGTCCTCAGCAACGCTTGCTTCCCCAAATCCCACACTCGCGCTGAGTGCCTGAGGTCTCCCATGGGCCTCAAGCCCTACCTGAGCCTTGATTTCTCACAATGTGTGAGCTTGAGATTCCACCAGGGGGCGGGCAATAGCCAAGTCCCCCAGGAGGCAGACATAGGGGCTAGTGGTCAGGGCACATAGCTGGTCTGACGAAGGCAGGAGAAGGGAGGTGGCAGGTTAGGGGCTGGAGAGTGGCCCCCATTCTCAGTGTCTCACAATGAGAAGAGAAAAGATGGCCTCCGGACTGGGGCGGGGAGCCTGAGACCCCTCTCATGCAGCTGTACATTAGTGGGGTTAAGAGTCCTTTTGAGTATTGGGTGAAAGCTCAGGGCCCTCTCCTTCCCCAACAGACTCATCCATACAAATTTTACAAACAATATCAGGAGGCTCTCAAGATCCTCTAACGCCCTGCCCGAACCCTCAGGGTCCCGTGGGCTCAGACTGCGACCCCCTCCTCTGAAGCAATACGACGAACACACGGAATCTCTGCTCACCAGCCAGTCCAACCACAGCCCAGAGGCCCTGAAATTTCTCTCCCAAATCAGATGTGAGCAAACATCCAACTTTGCCCCTAATTTCTCTCTGAGCTTGAGTGGGCCCTGCGGCTTGTCCGCCTTGGCCAGGCACCTGGGATGAAGCGGAGGGTCTGAGATGTTAGCTGGCAAGAGGACCAGCCTGTACAGGCCCTCTCCTGCCCAAGACATGCCTTGGAGGAGGTGCCACCCCAGCGCCAGCCAGCAGCAGCCCAGCCGGCTGAAGGGGCAGGAGCCCGCCCAAGAGACCAAGAGGCTGAAGCGAAGCCTCTGACAGCAGGCTTCCCAGGGAGGAAGCTCAGCCGGCAGCCCCTGAGCTGACAGATAGCTGCGGATGGGGAGAGGCTGAGTCAGACCCAGCAAGAGACCAAACCCAGAAAAATGACACGGAAAGAATGGGACCACAGAACACCCAGAGAACAAGGAAAGACACAGAAAATGACAGAGCCAGGAACTGCCAGGGCCAAAAGGAAAAGGGAGAACCAGCAGAGACAAAGATACAGCCAGGGGATGGGAAAGCGAAGAGGCGAGATGGTGACTCGGAAGACAGAACGGGAGAACAGAGCGGACAAGCGACACCAAGCCTTTTTCGGCGAGCATCCACGTCCACCTCACACTCCCCATGAAGCCCCGGCACCTGGAGGTCCCTCCTTCCCTGCTGACAGGTGGAGAGAGGTTCGGAATCCCCTCCTTGGCTCCCAAACACCCTCCCTCCCACCACGGCCCTTGGAGCACATACGTGGAAGCCACCCGTCCAGCCTCCCAGTCTGAGGAGAGAGAGGAGAGCGGGCCTCCTGCCCGTGGGAGGGACGCTCGCCTGACCCTTTGGCGTGGAGTGACGCAGCAGACTGGCACCTGGGCCCGGGCGTGCCTGCCCTTCAGACACCACGTTCCATTCAGGTGAGGGACTGGGCTTGTGGGCAGGTGGTGGGAGCACAGCCTCACCGCATCCTGCTTGCCCTTCTGGGACCCTGGCAGCCCCGGGAGAGGGGGCGCCTCTGGAACACTCTGCCTACTACTGCCTTCCTGCTTTGCCCAGCTTTCCTCCTTTCTCTCTTCCCCACTCCCCACACCGGGACTCAGGCCAAGTTCAGGGCCACCTTCCAACCCACTCCCCCTCCCGACGTCACAGGGGTGTTCATGGCTCTGAATGAGGCGGTTATTCAGAGGGAGGGAAGTCAGAAGGGGAGGGCCAGCCACTGGGACAGGGCGACCAGAGTGAGGGCCGGGCCCTACCGCCCTCCTGCAGTGACCACTCACCCGGCTCAGGCCCAGGCAACAGCTGCTCTTCTCCAGGTCCAAGGACTCCAGCAGCTCTTCCACCGCCTGCAGAGAGACGCCTCTGTCAGGGAGGCCAGGGGCCGCCCCCGTCTCCACGCAGGGCTTCGCCCAGGCATGAGTCCTTCCTGGGCCTCCACGGAGGCAGTCTGTTACTCATTCAACAAGCGCTTTTGGTGGGCTTCCACACTGTCAGGCCCTAGGTTAGATTCTGGGGACGTAAGGGTGACTACGAGAGCAGTAAGTTGTCTTGCTGGGGAGTGAGACAAGTGAATTAGTGAAGTACACAGAGGAGGAGGTGCCCAAGTCACACAAGGGACCATGAAAGGCATCCTGGAGGAGGTGAGGTGTAGCTTGTGCTGAGTCTTCAGTTACAAGGAAGAACTAGCCAGAGTTGGGGAGAGGGCATTTCGGGCAGACGGACGAGCGCGAGCAAAGGCATGGAAGCACAAGACAAGAGAAAGGGCTGAGGAAACCAGGCAGTTCAGGAGGGAAAGTGGGGGGGGGGGCGGTTAAGGTACAACTAGAAAGGTGGGCAGTAGCCAAAGGGTGGGGCGCCCGCGTGCGCTGGGAGCCCCTGGAGGGTTCGGTCAAGGAGGGACAGGATCGGATCTGCATTTTCCAGGGATCCCCACTGGCACATGAGGGGAGAATGGACGGAGACCCCCTCAGGCAGCTACTGCAGGAATTCACAGGAGAGGAGGCTAGAGCCTGACCCAAAGGGAAGAAAGAGGCGGAAATGCCAGAGATGTGAAGGAGATAGAGGGGGCAGGGCAGCCGACAGGGAGGAATCTAGGGACACCACAGCACCGGGGTTTCTGACTTATGTAGCTAAACAGATAATGGTGCCACTCTCCAAGGTAGGAAACGGAAGAGCCAGAGTCGGTTGGGGAGGGGATGGAATCAGTGTGGTCTGAACATGCTGAGTTTGAGGCATGCAGGTAGAAAAGTCCAGAAAGCAGCCAGATAGAAATGCACGTCTGAGGTTCACGAGAGAGGCCTAGGCTACAGGTATTGATCTAGGAGTCGTCAATATGTATGTGGTAATTGAAGCGATGGGTGTGAATGGGGCTGGCCGGGGAGAGGCTGTAGACTAGAAAGCACAGACGGCCAAGGACAGTGTCTTAAGGAAGAGAGAGACCTTTACTTCAGGGGCAGGCAGAAGAAGGGATGCTCGGAGGGACAAAGGCAAAGCCAGGAACGGCAGCAAGGAAGCTGAGCAGAGAACAGAGTTGTCAAGAGAGTCAGATGTTGCCAAGAAGCACAGTAAGGTGGCCATTAGCTCCGGCAACATGGAGGGCGATGGGCGACAGAAGACCGGGCCCAGGGTGTCGGGGCGGAGGGACGGGTGGCGGCGGCGGGGAGGGGGCAGGCGAGCGACAGACAACTGTCTGGCGTGAGAGAGCGTTGATGGGAGGCTCCTTTCCAAGCACACTATCTGCAGGATGTTTCTCCACTGAGAGGAAAGAGCCAGCGGAGGAGAGGCTGAAGAAACGGGAGAGAGAGAACAGTTAGCGCGGATGGAGCGGGCCTCCAGGGAGCCCCCGGGAACGGATTCCAAAGCACAGGAGGAGGGGATTGGTCGAGGGGAGGGACACCTCTCCCACCCAGACAGGAGGGCTGAGCAAGAAGGCACCCGAAGACAAGAGTCCACAAGGCAGCGGAGGAAGTTGGAGCCTCAATTTTATGACCGGTTAGAGGCCAGGTCAATTGCTGGGCAGATGACCTGGGCAGGCAGGGTAGCGGGGGACTGGAGGAGAAACACGGAGAACAGAACAGCAGGGAAGGAGCTTGGAATAGGGGCCAGGGAAGGATGGGGCATATGAAAAACATGCTGGGCCATGGCAAAGGGCCCAGTTGAGGCTGGAGACCATGCACCTGTAGGACTTCAAGTCCACCCAGTTGTGTAATTTTCTCCCCTAGCCCTTGGGAAACCCAAACTGAGGAGCACAGATGCCCGGAGGCTGGCCCTTCAGTGTGGGGGTTGGGCAGGGCAGGTGCCCCAGCAGGCACAGGAGAGCTGAGGGTGATGAAGGCCAAGTGACCGGAGGGCAGGACCATGGCATTGAGGCGAGAAGAAAAGAAAGTCAGAAGGGAATGGACAGAGCAGAGAAAACGCAGTGGGGTCCAGACATGAGAGGTCTCAACAGAGTCAAAGAGCAGGTGTCCTGAGAGGAGGAGAGAAGTGAGGTGCACAGGTTAGGAGGCTGCGGGCAGGGAAGGCCATGATGGAGTTGAAGATTTCCGAGGTGAAGCATTTCCAGGGGTGACAAGATCTGGGTGTGGCTGTGAGTGGGAGGCTGGAATAAAAGTCAGGGGTCAGAGAGAAGGGGGTTGTGGGGTGGGTCATCTACACGCACACCAAGGTCGCCCAGGACACTGGCAGGTCCTGGATGGAGAAAAGTTTTTGAGGCCTCCAGGAATGTGGGTCTGTGACTCAGGAGGCAAGGGGAAGCGGGCTTTCTGCCCCATTCTGCAGAGCATTCTCCCTCTTAGGGAAGCCATCCCAAGGTCTGAGATGCCTTCAGAGTCAGGCCGGGCGCCTGAGGCCAGAGCACGGGGAAGGAGGCTTCCTCTGCTCAAGGAGCCCTCTGGCTCTCTGAGGAGCTGCCTCTGAGTGGTGACAGCCCTGTTTTCAGCAACCTGTGCTGACAAGGGGCCTGGGAGCCTTCAGCTTACCCTGGCACCGGAAGGTCTTGCCATATCAATCTTGCCCCGAGGAGGGATGCTTGCCCCACCCCTGGACAGCTTCCTGCTGCAGGAACCATCCCTGATGTGGAAGTTAAGGCCGAAGGGCCCAGGGGATACCAGGGGTAACACCTAAAACACGAGCTCTTATCTGCCTCCTGGGAGACTCTTAGATGGCTAGCTCACCAGAGAGCGGAGACCCCCAGCTCTGGCCTCCAAAGAGGGTGAGTCTTCTCTGATTCCTACAGGCCACACCCCAGGCTGCCTTCTCCCCACCATCCCAGCTTGGCTGCCACGCGCCCGTCCTGGCCCCGGGTGGCCAAAACCAGGAGCAGGAGCAAGGGCCAGCCGGGCTCTCTCTAGGCAGGGAGGGGCAGCTGCTCGGAGGGGTCTGAGCAGAAGGAAGGGGGTCTGGTAGGGCTCTGGGGCCCAGACCTACCCGCCTCTCATCCACCACGATGTAGTTGCGCCCATGTTTCTTGGTCAGGTGTGGGGCCAGGACGTCGAAGCGGCGGCGGAACTCGGAAAACACCATGTGGTCAGGGTAACCTAGAGAGAGGGCAGCCCAGAGCCAGTTCGCACTCGGACACAGTTACCGGAAAGGGCAGAAGCTGCTGGGGGAGGAGAGCCTGAGGCTGAGGCAGACCTGGGAAAGGAGGTGCGGGAGGAAGAGGCAGGGGTATGGGACAGGGGTCTGCAGGATAGTTAGGGCTGCCCTCCCACGGGGCTGCAAGGTTACAACGGGAACGGGTTCCTTTAGAAGCAAGTGCCTTGTCAGTGAGGTGTGCGAACAGGGGACGGCTGCCCACCTGGAAGGAATGCTATGGAGAGGAGAGATGCTTTCTAGCCTCCAAGTCTATGACTCTGCTATACCCAGAAAGAACAGTGTCTTCAGGACTTAACAAGGAAAAAGAAAATCGGGCCACAGAGAGCAGCCGAGAGGAAAAGTGCATGGGCTTGGGGTCGGAATCCTGGCCCTGGCTCTTGGCACCACGTGACGAGTCACTCAACATCTCTGACTCTTGCTTTCCTCATCTTTCAAGGGGGGACCTGCCGCTTACCTTGCACGGTAGTCATGGGGTTCGAATGAGAAAATATGTGGAAAGCACGGCTTGGCTCACGTGGTGGGTGTTCAATAAAATGCTCCTTCCTTTCCCCAGTCCCCTGAAGCAGGATACAGAAAGGGTACCCTTCCTGCTCCCATCCTGACCTTGAGCCCTAGGCCGGGTGACCCAAAGACTTCTAGATTCTCTTTCCCTGAAGAGCACTACCTCGAGCAGAGACCTCCCTGCTGTGTAGGCTTGAGGCCAGGACAAAGGTCAGATGGCTTCTGGCTTGGAGCAAGGTCGGGATGGTGGCTGGTAGGAGGTCACCCTGAGCCACCTGAGGGCACCAGAGCGCCCACCACCACAGTGGAGGACTGAGAGACCCACTCATACACGTTCACAGAATTTCAAACCGAAAAGGGGTCTTAGACCAGAACCAACTCATCTTCCAGGCCTGGGAACTGAGGCCAAAGAGGTGGACTGACGGGCTTGCTCAAGGTCACAAAGGCTGCAGCTGGAGGCAGAGTTGGACTCCAAACCCGGGCTCTCGAGAGCCCGTCGGGGGCTCCCTCCACGACACCAGCCTCACTAGCTCTGGGAAACCCTCCAACTGGGAGATGAGGCTGATGCATGTGCCCGATAATTGAAACAGGAGGCGGGGGCCGCTGAGGGGCCAAGACAAAGTGAGCTATTGATTGTATCTGAATTGCAATTAAATTGATGGGCCAGGATAGCAGGTCTGGACGCCTGGCATCTTAATTAATCATCAGCGCTATCGATGGTGGCTGGGGGCTGGGCGAGGGGAGGGGGGCCTGCTGCTGCTGGCCTCATCGATCTGCTTGTTTGAGTAAAGCACATTGATTTTGGTTCAGAGCGGTAACAATCTGGTTTTGAAATAATAAACACCAACTCCATATCAAGACGTGGGGACAGATCGATGATTTATTTCGAGCAGGGCAGGGAGCCTGTTTTGCGGCTTTGACTGCTAAGGAAAAGTGATGATGTCCATGGGGGTGCCTCAAGGGGACCTGGCTATGGGCGGGTGGGATCCTGCCAGTTCTCCTACCAAAGGAAAGGAGGACAGAAATCTGGCAGCCTATAACTTCTCAGGCAAATGAAACCCCACTCGAGAGGCACTCATGAGCTGTGTGACCTTGGGCAAGCTACTTAACCTCTCTGAGCCTCAGTCTCCTCATCTGATGACGACTGTCATAGTACCAACATCTCATGAGATGGTTGTGGGGATTAAAAGAGTAATGTGTATGATGAGTTCAGAACGGTGCCTGGTAGCCTATAAATGCTCTAGTGATGTTGAGCAGTTGCCCCTTGAGCAACATGAGTTACACGCCCTGTGCAGTCGAATATCCAAATATAACTTTTAATTCCCCCCGGAAACTTAACAACTAATAAGCTACTGTTGACCGGAGGCCTTACCGATAACATAAGCAGTCGACAAACACATTGCTGTAGGTGGTATGTAGGACATACTGTATTGTTACGGTAAAGGGAGCTGGGGGAGAGCAAGTGTTATTAAGGAAGGCAGAAGGAAGAGAAAATACACTTATCCTACCATACTACAAAAAGCCTGCCTGTAAGTGGGCCCACACAGTTCAAACCCAAGTGGGGCAAGGGTCAACTGTGCTATTACTCTCACCCTTTCTGATCCCTCCTCCAGATGGGTCCACAAAAAGGATCTGGCTGACCTTTCTTGGGAATTTTAAGTACCTCAGAAAGATTTAGCACCTCATTTCTCATTGGGGGGTATGGCCCAGCCTGCTCTCGGAGGTAGTTAGCGTCACTGAGCGGAAGGCTCTAGGTGGGCAGAGCGGGGAAGGGGGGGGGGGGGAGGGGGGTTGTGTGAACAGGGCCTTGTGGGGCAGGGCGGGGAGGGGGTGAAGAGGACTGGAATACAGAAGCGAGAGGAAGAAGAAGGGAGTCAGCCAGGTGGAAAGAAAAAGAGAAAGGAACAGACTGCGCTGGAGAGACCACCCCCCAGCTCCCTGCTCCACCCCCCCCTCCCCGAGCAGGCACCAGAGCAGAAACGAGATCCGGGGCAAGACCAGAGACAGGAGGGGAGCAGCACCCCTCTAGCCCCACGGGCCCCATTTGGAAGGTGCGGAGGAGCAGGAACGGCTCCAGAAAACAGGAGCAGGAGTGGACACGGAAGGAGGCCCCACCTTGGCGGTACATGCGCATGGCGTCCAGCAGGCGGGAGCCCCGGAGCTGGGCGCGCAGCAGGGGCACGTCCAGCTGCAGGAGCCCAGCCTCACAGTGGTCTCCGGAGGGCAGGTCCAGCTCGCTGCTGCTGCTGACTCGGCGGGAGGACGCGGAACGGGGCTCCCCGGCCCAGCCCTCTGCTACAGGCAGGAAGCAGTGCACGAAGTGCAGCTTTGATTTCTTGACAGTGTCAATGAGGGCGTCCTGCCAAAGGGAAAGGGACAGGCCTCGGTGGATTCTGGGGGCCCGGCCCGTGCCCAGGACAGCATCTCCGCTCCTCGCAGGATGGCAGGTGTCCTGCCGCTGGCCAAGACGTGCCAAGCCTGGCAGCTCCACCCTCACGAGGCCCGAGGGGCCACTCAGGCGGCAGCACGGAACAGAGGACCCAGCAGAGGGGGCTGCTGAGTGGGTGCCGGGTAAGCCGGGTGCTCCCCAGAACGGCCAGAGGAGCCCCGAGAGGGCCATGGGGCCTGGGCAGGCACACTCACCACCTGCAGCTTAATCTGGATGCACAGTGACTTCTTCTTGACAGCCGCCATGCCTGTCGTGAAGGTCTTCCGCATGCTGGTGGCCCGGCGCAGCGCCAGCTGTGAGCCGCCCTCCAAGCCTGCGATGGAGCCTGATAGCACCGTGGCGCTGCCTGCCCGGCCCAGAAACAGGCTGCTGATGATTTTCCTACCAGAGGTGGAGGGTGAAGGAGGGAAGGCAGTCATTTTGAGAGACTAGTAGAGGGTGTCCTCCCAGTTCCTAGGACACCCCCAAATCCCCCATATGGCTGTGACCAGGGGCCTGGGGCTGCATGCCCCACACCCTAGAGAGAAACTGGAGGGAAATCTACAAACAGGAAGAAGAGAAAACCAGTGGGGGGGGGAGGGGGACAGAAGTGTGATCTCTTCTCCATCACTAGGGAGGGCAGAGGTCCAGGGTGGCAGGAGAGATTAGAGCCCAGCCCTCTCTACCATACCGTATAATCTGCGTCTGACATCTACTGGTTGTTATCTGCCTCCCCCCCACCCCCAATTGGGCAGGGAGTTTTGTTTTATTTACTGCCAGGTACATAAAAGAGTACGCGCCCAATAATTATCTGCTAAATAAACAAAATAGATGACAGGCCTTATGTGACTGAGGGGTTTCTAAGGCTACTCGTGCCTTCTTTTAAAGTTTTTATTTGTATCTTACTTTATTTATTTTTTTTAGTAATCTCTACACCCAATGTGGGGCTTGAACTCATGACCCCAGGATCAAGAGCTGCACGCTTCTTCCGACTAAGGCAGCCAGGCGCCCCGTTTCTTAAAGTTTTGTTTTGTTTTGTTTTTGTTACTCCTGCCTTCTTTGAAGAACATGGAGGTGCTATTCAAATTTCAAACTACAGGTCTCTCCAACCCTGTCCATCCCACTTCTACTCCAGCAGGCCACCCCCAGGCCCTCCAGACCAAATGGCCTTGGCTGTCCCCTCTCAGGAAACAGAGGCCATCAACCCTGCTGGCGAGGGGGCCTCTGACACCAGGAAGCCCAAAACCAGCCCCAGGGATGGGACACGGGCCAGATGAGTGGTGTTCTTACTTCTGGGAGTCCTGCAGGAGCCGGGGGGCGTTCTGGGTGGCCGGGTTCTGTTTGGTGTAGCTCAGCCAGCCAGCCACATTGTACTCAACCCAGTTGGTGCCATGGCTGTGGCCCAGGAGAAAATGATGTGGTTTGCTGCTGCGCAGGAGGGGGCTTTGGCCTGAGCGGGGGAGAAGGAAGGTTCAGATCATCAGGGCACAGGCCCCAAAAAAGCCCAGGGACTCAGTGAGCCCTTCCAGGCAGTACCGTCTAGACCCATATAAGTGGGTCCTCTGGAGAGGAAGCAAAAGAGCCCTCCAGGGGTACCACCTACCTTTCTTGTCACCTTCCCGGGGGCCATAGTAGGAGAAAAGGCGCTCCAGGAGGGCGTCCTCTGTGGCCCCGGGCACCAGCGCCTCCTCTTCCAATAGCCAGAGCAGGCCCCTCGCCTCGTCGGTGCGTGCCAGTGAGCGGACCTGTGGAGAAGCGAAGAAAAGCCACCATGTGCCACGGAGCCCCTGGCCCAACCACACACCATAAACTTGCTACACATACACACACGCACTGCAGCTCCGGTCACTCCCGGCTGACACGTTGTGGGGCAGCCGGGCAGCAAGGGGAAAGAGGGAGCTGGACAGAGGTTAGAGAGAGAAGCCCCCAGCAAAATCCCCTTCCCAGGAATTGTGTCCAAAGTCACCAAAGGCTGAAGGCTTCTCGTGAACCATCCTTGTCCTCTTGGAAGTCACAAGGGCCTTGGGTGAGCCCATGTTGCTCTCACAACCTGGGCATCGCCTCCCAGGCAGATTAAATGAGATAAAAATTCTGGAAGGCCCTGGGCAGGGGGCGTGGCCCAAAGGAAGCTCTCAGCCAGCGACAGCTGTGGGGTCAAGCCTGGTCCCCCTGACAGGGAGGATCCCCGAGAGGGTTCCGAGCACTGCAGGTGGGACTCCTGCAGGGTCAGAAGCTCAAGTGCCAAAACCGTAAGATGGGTGGCTTAGGAGATGTAACAGCCGGAACGGGCAGAGTCGGGGTGATGGCATAGCACGTGTCCCCATCTACAGGGAAGGGCCGCCCATCAGCTTGCAGCCAACTGCTGTCCCGGAAGAACACTGGCCTAGCATTGGTAAAGCCTCCAGCTTTTCAAGAGAATTCTGATTTCTAATACCCTACGCGGGCCACACGAACTAGACCTGTGGCTGCATCTGGGCTGAAGGCGCCTTTGCCGTGGCATTTCCCAGACTTCCCTGAGCAAGGAGGATGGAACCTTCCCTTACACCCCATTCCTTCCTGGCCTTTTGGGACTTGGGGGACAAGAGAAGAAAAGTGTTTTTCCCTCTCTTTGCACCCAGTTGCCTGCATCGCCCCCCACCCCATGGCTGCCCAAGGGAGTCAGTGTGACTACCAGGAGGAAGCTGAATGTGGCCAGGGACAGATGGGGAGCTAAGGTCCCAGAGTGGCTGGAGCTACATGGCAGGACTAGGCAATGAAGCCACTGGACAGCGAGTGGCAGACTCAGCACGCAGGGGCCCCTGTCCCCAGAGGTGCCGAGGTCCATCAGACAGGGAGAGCAGGAAAGGGAAGGAATTGCCAAGGCCCATCCAAACACGCTGACATGCTGCCCCTCCTAAGCCACAGGGACTGACTTCCCCACATCTCCTGGGAATGGCAAAGGCTCTCAATGGAGGCCAGCTGGGAACCCAGGTGTCAGGAAAAGAAAAGCCAGCTTCCCTGGGTGGGGGGACATGGAACTTGGGTACTTTAAGTACTAGTCCCAGGGGGACACTCACTCTCCCTGGGGCCCCATCCCCTTGTTAGCACAGCAGGTCCTGCCCACAAGGAAGATGGAGAAGGAGGCAGGGGTCAAAGCAGAGATGGGGAGCAGCAGCCTAGCAAAAATGCCAATTCTCTAGTAAAGTGCCTTCTGAAACTTCCCTAACGGAAGACAGTCAGCACATGCCACGTGCTCATCAGGCCAGCCAGGCCCCCAGGCAGCAAAGTGCCCGAGATCCTCATCCAAAGTGTGACAAAGCCTGCCCCGAAGGTTGAGGGGTGAGGGCTCATATTTGGAGCTAGGCACGGACTCCCTATTTGCACAGACTCCTCACCCACTCTGCTTGGCTGCACCAGTCTTTTGGGGACAGTGGGAGGGATGACTCTGTCCTCTGGGTTCAGCCCAGCCCTCACCACCAAGAAGGAGACACCAGGCTCCTGGCAGACACACGTGAGGCTCAGGCAGGCACAGAACAGGGCCTGGGGAGGAGGGGGCAGGTACGCCTCCCCCCGCATGGCTCGGACACCTGGGGCCTGGGGCTCTCACTGCACCAGGGCGGAAGGATGTGCTACCTTCCGGGCCAGACCAGCCATGCAACAGTAGCTTACACAGCGAGGGCTCGACTGAGGGGAAGGGACAGACAAGGGGAGAAAGGGTCAGCCCAGGCCCTCGCTGCAACTCCTACCAGGGACTGATGGGAGGCTTGGTCCACAGCTGCCACAGAATCATCCACGGCTGGCTCCAAGTCGTCAAATGCCAGCTCAATGTTCTCCTAGGAGGGACGGGAGAGAGGTAGTGAGCGCAGGCCCCTTGAGGGGTGCCGCCCTACGCTGAAGGCCAGGAGGGGGCGCTGGGCCAGCAAGTCCACCCTTCCACCCCTCTCAGGAGCTCCTCCCCTCCAGCAGCCCCTCTGACAAGTGTTCACCACCTCCCAAGGCACCACATGGCCTTTTCGGACAGCTAAGAGTCCTTTAACCTTCTTTAACACTGAGCTAAAGTCCCTCATTCCTGTTACTCACACCAGTTGATGAGACTATACAGAATAAGCCTACGCTCGACTTCACACAATCATCCTTGAACCGCCTGAAGACTGCTGTCATTTGCTTCCTGAATCTTCTCTCAGCCAAGATAAATATCCTCCCCAGTTCATTCATCTCACCTGCCCATGAGGTAGAATTTCTAGATCTTGTCCCATCTGGAACACCCTTTTATGGAGGGGCCCTACATGATCAATCACCATCTTAATAGACTGGGAGCCAGGGAGGGAGCCAGGGAAGGCCTGGCTGACCCACAAGGAGGCAGGAACTGCGCGGTGGCAATTCACAGGGCCTAGGCCGGTGCCTTGAGGGTGGGCAAGGAGGGGCTCTCAGGGGCCCCGAACGCGCCTGCAGCTTCTTTGAGAGCAAACTCTCTACAAAGTGAGGATATAGTCTGGGGCAGGACAAGACTACTACTCCGGGGCGCACGGGGAGACAGAAATGCCAGAGAGCAAAAGCAGGGAAGGTGGGGCCTTCCCTCTCCACACATGTCCTCCCTGTGGGTGCCAGGAAGCTGAGGCTGGGGGTGGGGGGTGTGTGGGGGGGGTGGGCAGGGGCTGGGGGTTGGGCAAGGCAGAGGCAAGGTCAAGTGCTACCTCCTTGTATCTTTCTAACTCCTGCACGAAGGTGCGTTGGTGGAAGAGTCTCTGCAGCCGGTCCTGGGCGTAGTTGTGGCACAGCTCCTCAAAGGAGGCCCCGCGGGCCGACCCACCCTGCTCAGGGTTCTGGAAGCCCGGAGTGTCCACAATCATCATAGAGCAGAGTGAGTGCTGGCTGGACTTGAGAGCCCTTCACAGGGAGAGCCTGGGTCAGGGCTGGCCAGGGAAGTACCGCCGAACAGGCCCCACTGGTCTGCCCGTGGCGCCCAGGCAGCCCTGTTCTGCCCCAAGCCAAATCTCCATCCCTGCCCAGATGCCCAGGATCTCCGTAGGGGAGGATGTGCCTCTCCTCGCCCGCGAGGACAGTGAGCCCTCTGCTGGTGGAGAAGGGCGCTGCCTTAGCAATCCCACCAGCACAGAGCCATCAACTCCCGCTTTGTCATGGCAGGAGGCTGGGCAGCTCCTGGGCCCTGCCTGGCACTCACCTGTTCACCAGGGAGACAAGAAGGGTGAAGAGCTCACTGTAGAGGCCGGACGCCATGCCTTCTAAGCACTCCAGTGCACTCAGTTTGGGGCCTGTGGGGCAAGAGCATCCGCTCTACCTCCTGCCCCTGGGGATCCCCATGGGCGTATGCTCTCTAGCCACCCAGGGTCAAATCAGCATGGGGCCCTGGGGCTGGGCCTCTCCCTCTGATGGAAGCATCTATTCACCCCAGCGGTACCCACCCCCCCGCCCCAGAGAAGACAGCAATGAGGCCTGGATGGGGCCTCCCAATCACAACCAGCAGCCAAGGGGCTCGGGGCACCTGTGCCGTCTCCCAGGCCGCTCTCCTCGGGGCCCTGGCGGAAGGAGGTGGAGCGCTGCAGCGTGCCGCCCTTGTGTTGGTGCTTGAAGATGGCTGAGGATAGCTCCTCCAGGCTGCAGCCCAACAGGTATGCGGCCTTCTGGGCCCACTCGTGGCGGGCAAACTGCTTGCGCCCAGCTACGGGGTAGAAAAAAAAGGATCTGGCATCTTGGGTCTTTCTCCTTAGTCCATCTGATGACTGTTGTGCCCTTTGGCTCCCATGGCCAAGAACTGAGGACCGAGCATCTTCTGGAGTTAAAACCAGCCCTAATGACACCAGAGGGGCTTTAGGCAAAACAGAGACAGCCAGCGCCTGTGTCCTTTGCGGGCGGAGAGAACAACAGGTCCTAAAAGAGGAGGGAACTCCACAGCACTGCCACCAGAGGGCGCCCAGGCAGCTCTGAACCTCTCTTCTAGAGGGCTTGGCCTCAGGGGTGCCAACCTGGGGAAGGACAGTCAGGGGATGAGCCAGCCCCCCTGTGATGAGCACAAGAGCCACGTGTGCCTGTGGGGGACACGTCATGAGAGAGTTCTAGTGCCTCCCCGTTCCGTGAATGCAGCAGGACCCTCTCCCTTACCTCCAGGCGTCTGCCAGGGGAGACCACCACCACCCCACGGCCCAACAGCGGGGAAGTGGAAGAAGCCACAGGGGAAAGGGAAGAGCCCAGGCAGACAGACGTGCCTCAGCCAACATGTGTCTAATCACAGCAATTAGGGAAAGCTAACAAGAAACAAGGTTTTACCTTCAGCAGCTTCTGTAAGGCAAAGGACCAGCATGCAGCATGCAAAGAAAAACAGCGTGTTAGCAAACAGTCATCAGCTGAACCCGCCAGGTCCGCGGGAAGGGACCGTGGGGGGTGTGTGTGTGGGGGGCTTTGTGAGGATGAGCAGGCGAGAAAACACAACCACATTCAGACTCAGAGATGCAAAAATATACCCAAGTGCACACACACACAATCTCAAAGGAGTATGTTTACGGGTGTAATCACGCTGACACACACACACACACAGACCTACAAAGACACCACACACGTACACGTACACACACGTGCACACATCCTCTGGAAAATACTGGAAGCTCTGAGGAGGTAACAGACCCTGCTCAACAGGGTCCCTGTGCGGACACACCCAGATCTGTCTGCTTGCAGGCAGTGCTGACGGAGTACAGGGTTATAGGAAACCTGGTCTCGTCACCTCCTCAGACGGGAAGAACTTCCTCAAGACACAGCCACACGCCTACCCGCCTGCCCACCTACACAGTCTGGAGACAACTTTAACTCAGAGCCTGCTTCCTCTTTGGCAGGGATGCCACCTGCTGGGATCGTAAGGAACCTGACACCGAACCGCCTGCCTCTCTGTGCACCCACCCACCCACCAGTGCTTTCTCGCTCCTGCTGAGCAGCCTGGGGCCCTTCACATCCCAGAGAAGATGCAGCCAAAGCCCAAGGCGCTGTTCAGAGGCAGGAGCCCTCTGAGGAAGGGGAGGAAGGGGTGAAGAGGTGCTCCGAGCGTCCGCCCCTCAACATAATCTCAGAGGAAGGCAGCAAAGCTCTCCGAAGCCAGACCAAGCTCTAGCCATGCACAAGCCCCCAAGTCCAAGGGCAGAAGCTGCAGCCCATTTGTTACCACAGTGCCTGCTGCCCCCTAGTGGTCTCCACCCTGCCATGCAAGAGGAAGAGACCCCGGCTACCAAACCGGTGAAGGGAAGGGAAGAAGACTCCGGGAAAACTGGCCTCGGAACGCCCCAAGATGGCAAGCCCACCCTACCCCATCTAGGCCCCAGGGAGGGCATCCTGAGAGGTCCCAGGATCTGGAGGCAAAACGAGTCAGAGCAGCTAGGCCTGGGACGCCGAGAAGCCTCACGGCCAGCAGGCGCCCTCTCCCTGCTCAACTCGGGGCTCCTCCCAGGCCAGTCCCCCCCATTCGGACAGAACAAGCCCAGTCCCCAGAGAGAGCCCAGGGCCAGCACCAAGATGGGACAAGGTGGCCTCTACCCCCCAGGGAGGGGCCAAGGTCAGTTACCCGCTTGCTCCTCAGGGGCCTCTGTCAGGAAGGGAACAAGAAGGAGAGTTATTTCAGGGGGACTGCTCTGACTTAGGGCCCTTCTCTTCCCCCTCGGCCTCAGAACTGCCGCCCCCCCTGCTCTTCACAGGGCTCCACATCACTGCCGCCCAAGTGCAGGGGCAGAGATGCTTCTCCGGGTGCTCGGAGCCTTGTGCTCCGAGGTGGGGGACTGGGAAGAGGCGCAAGCAACAGAGGGGTGTCTGCTAACAGAGACGGCCGTGCCGGGTGAGGGCGAACGGAGCGGCAGGGCCTCCGCAAGCTCTCCTGGGCGACAAGCCGCGCCACCGGGAACCCCTGCAGGTTACCTTTGGTGGCACCTGCAGCCCCCAGGTGGTAGATGGCAGCCAGGATGAGCCAGCAGGCTTTCTGTTCATCTGCGGAGATGCCCAACACCTTCATGGCGGTCTGCAGCTTACTGAACTGCTGAGCCGCCTTCTGCTTCTCCTCAGGCTGCAGGGACAGACGGGCCTGCGTCTCAGAGGGGCTGTCCCTCCCGGCGTACCCCCATGCTGCTGGGCCCTAGGGAGGGTGAGGCTAGGGAAAGCCTCCAGGCGGGAGTCGGGATCCTGCTCCTCGAATGGGGCATTCCAGGCCGCTTGAGGAGGCCCCTACTCCCAAGGCCTAGGGCTGCCAACCCCATCCCCATAGGCCCCTCACCTTGGCCAGTGGCACAATCCCAAACACATTGTTCTCTGCCAAGTGGTTCAAGTGGAGCTCTGTCCTAGGGGTACAAATGAGGCATCAGCACGGTGCGTGGTCCCCATGCCAAGGGCCATCTCCCTACCAGGGTGGAGACAGACGGATCCAGCTTCCAGACTCTGAGTTCTGCCTGCCCATCATGCCCTACTGTCAGGCCAGCTGCCGCCGCCTTCCCTAATTGGCCTGGACGCCTGGTCAGAGCACTAGCCTCCCTAGGACAGGTCACCAGAGATGCTCTGGTGAGAGTGTCCAGCCAGACCCCTGAAAGAGAGCAAGGAATCTGCCTGCGGCACGAGTCCAGCCAGGACAGAGCCCGTGCCCTCAGTGACCAGAAGAGCTAAGGAGGAAAATGTCCCGGGGCTGCTTGCTCAGCCTTTTCATTTATCTTTTTTTCCGCAGAACAAGGACAGAAAGTCTGAAGGACTAAAGGGAAGAGGTGGGCAGACGAACCAACCTAGGGGGCAGGGAGGGCCAGCCTGGAGGGCGCTGAAAAAGGCCCAACAACCGCTCAGCCCCACACTAGCCGTGTGACTACAGGCAAGTCCCTGGCCACCCGCATCCTGCTGTGCTTTCCCCTCTGCAGATCTGGTTTCAGGGGTAGCAGAGGTCCTGGCAGGGCCCCGGGAACACTGGAGGGTCAATTCTGTGCCCAGGGCTCGAGAGCTTCCGTGGGGTAGAGCCTGTGGCTCATTCGGCTCACCGTCCTATTACCTCGGGCCTCATATGTGGCAAGCATACAGTAAACACACGGGATAGGATGCAACCAGGTGGAAGATCCAGGAGCCATCAGTGAGCTGGAGTCCAGAGCACCGCCTCCCCCTCCCCCCGCCGTTTCCTTGGCCCCATCTCACCTGAGGGTGCCATCCCCACAGGCCAGCAGGTAGTAGAAGACATTGAACGTGGCCTCACCAGCTGGGCGTCGAGCCACACGCAGCTTCTCCAGAAGCATTGTCTACAGCACAGCATGGGAGGGTATGGGCAAAGAGGGTAGGGCTGGGTCAAGCTCCGCCCACCCCACGCCAGAGAGAACGGGGAGGGGGGCTGTAAACAAGCGGCCAGCTCCCCCCAGGGTCAAATCCAGGGCAGAAACGGGAGCCAGGCAGAAGAAGACAGGCCCAGCTCCTGGACGGGCCCTGCTGTCCTCCCCAGGCCCCCGGCACAGTCTTCTCAGGGAGCTGGCTGGGCACTTCGTGGTGACATGTTTCATTTAGCCTGGAGGGGGACCAGCCTCAGCTGGACCTTCCTTGACTGACAAGCCAGTCTTAACCTGGGTGAAATTAGCCTGCGAGAAGCCCCTGCATACAGGGACAGGGCCCCAGAAGTAGGGTGTGGCGAACCCCAAGGGTGGGCAGGAAGCTGAGCCATGCTCCACCCAGGGCAGGAGGCAGAAGGCTTGGGGGACAGAAGACACGGGCGGGGGCGGGGGGCAGAAGGGTGAAGGCCCGGAGTGGAGCAAACCAGCCCTGCTAGAGCCAGGGTCCATTTTGTTGGGGTAGAATCCCAGGAAAATGAGGCACAGGAGAGAGCCTGGTTTCTAGGGCCTGAACCCAGGCAGCCAGTCTCTTACCACCCTGGAGGTCCCTCACCTGGATGGAGGCCGAGGCCACCTGGCCAGCTTGGTCGAAGTCCAGGGAGAGGATCTGGGAGAAGCGGGTGGCGTTGCCGTTCATGATGGTGGGGCTGTTCCCAAAGGCTTCCAGAAGGCTGTACAGAGCCTGCCACTTCTCCACTGCAGGAGACACGCCCGGGGGCCATCAGGAAAGCCTCCAGACGCCCAGCCCAGGCCTATTCCCCCAGCACACAGAGGCTCGGAGTTACACCGGCCAGACTGCCCAGGGACAGAGGGGTTTTGAGGACACAGAGAAACCAGGGAGAAAATGGATGGCACCTACGAGGCGCTTCCATCCCCACCCCTCTCAGGTTTTCCAGGTGTCCTGTCTCACCGGAAAACACCTTGTTCCCGCTGGTGCCCGCGATGGTGGCCAGGTACTGCACCAGGTGCTGGCAGCTGGTGGTCTTCCCGCTGCCGCTGCTGCCCAGGAGGATGACAGACTGGTCCTGGCGGCTCATCAGCATTGCCCTGTATGCGGTCTGGGCCACGGCGTAGATGTGGGGTGCCATGTCCTCCCGCCGACACCCCTTGAACATGTGCATCACCTTGGGTGGGAGAGGGACGGAGGGAAGGGGTAAGGCTCTTAGCTGGTCCCACTCGGTCACCCCTTACTCCCAAGGTCCACCTTTCTGGGCCTTTCACTGCAGGGGGGCCGAGGGATTCTGAGGCTAAGGCCATGCACGGAAATGAAGATTCTAGCCCAGTCCCGGCCTCTGTTAGAGGTTAGGGGGAGGGCCTCAGGTCCCCACCCCCTGAAATGACTCCTCTTCCCAAGGTCAGCTGTGAGAGTGGACAGGAGCCCAGTGGGATGCCAAGGGGAAGGGGTGGAGCCAGGGAAGGTGGGGTAGGTAGTACATGGGTGGGTCCGTGAGGCAGCATTGTAGCCTTGGGGTCGCCGCACCTTCTCGGAGTACACGGCGGGGGCCCCACGGGGGCTGAGGACGAGCAGGCTGGGGCCAGCGTACGTGTGCAGCAGGCTCGCGCCATAGCGCTGGCGCAGTGTGTGGAGGACGCTGGATTCATTGAGGTACACCAGCGAAGCCAGATCTTCTAGACGGTCGCAGGAGGGAGCGTTAGCCTGTGTGATAGGATAGGCGGGCAGGCACTGAAGAAGCAGAATCTGTCTGCGCTGCCGGTGGACAGGCCTGCCCTGCCCAGCCCACTTCCTGTGCCCGCCACCTGCAAACCTTCTCCACATCATCTTCCTCCACGTCCAAGATGGCGCCATCGTGGTCTAGCTTCACGCGCACCTTCCCTTCCGGCAAGCTGAGCTCCTCAGATTTGAGCTGACTGCCTGCAGCGCGGGGACAGACAGTCAGACACAGGCCTGGGAACCTTTGCCACCCTGTTCGGGCCCTTTGTGGTCTTGCCTCCTCCCCACTATATCCCTGGGCTCTCCTCACTCACCACCCAGGCCTCACCAGATCCAGGAAGGCACACCCAGCCCTGAAAACTGAGAGGCCCAGACATCTGTCCACTGGGCCTCCCCAGACTCACCCAGCGAGAAGCCATCCTTATGGACCAGCCACACCTTCTCTGTCTCATACCAGGTCTCTTCCACTGCAATCTGCTCTTCTGTCTTCACCTATCAGAGGGAGGGCGGAAACAGTCAGTCCTTGTTCTGGAAAACATTTGAGTCAGGAGAGCAGGAGAGAGGAGACATGTGAGGGGAAGTGCTTCCAGATGAGCCCCTGGGTAAGGGGGACAGTTGGGGGGCAGATACAGAACAGGGGACATCGGAGGTGTCACAGGAAGAAGGTGGGGAAGCCAGGGGGTGGGGGTGATCCTGAGGAGCCCTGAGGATGAGGGCACAGAGTTAGGGACCACACCAGCCTTGAGGGTCTGGAAGGACGGGGACACTCAGAACTCGAGCCCAGAAGAGAACAGACCACAAGAAAGCAAACCAGGTTCCACCTTCAGCCACCCTCTTCCCCACCTCCCCGTGGGGCCTGTAGGGTCGGTGTCCTGAGCCTGCACGCCGCCCCCTGGTCCCCAGCCTGCTGCTACTGTGACCTCTCATGCCCAGCTTCTGCCTTCAGCCGACTAACAGGCCCTCCTTCACCCAGCTGGCAAAGGGCGCTTCCTCAAGACCTGAGGAGAGAAGTGTCTACGGAGGACTCTGTACTGCAACATGATCTGCGGGTCCTGAGTCCTAGCCTCAGCCTGGCCTTCTTTCCACTCCTCCTTCACGCCTCCTCAGGAGGACAGGCGAAGGCCATGCAAGGGCATGAAACAGCATGGCCAGACACGGGGGGTGGGGGGGGGTGCGGGGAAGGGCATGGGAAAGGCCTGCGTGCCACGCGGGTGGGTACTGGGGCAGCTTGAGCCACAGTCAGTCTCTAAGAGGAGACCTGAGGCTGAGGAGCAGACACTGCTTTGTGTCACCAACCCCCTGGGTGAGGGACCGGGAAGGACAAGGAGACATAAGTCTTTCCTTTGTCACATTTCTTGGAGCTGAAAGAAAAAGAGATCTGGGTTCTACTCCCAGGTTGGATCCGGGCTTCAGATAACTCCCTCTTCCTTGCTGATGGTCCTTTCCCGTTCAAGAGAGAAGCCTGGACTACACGGGCTCTGGGAATCATGACCAGTGAAACCACCCTTCACACAGGACGGTCGCTACGGGGCCGACAACGTTTTAAATTGTTAAATGAAGACATTAAAAAAAAAAAAAAAAGGCTAATTCTGTTAGTTGAAGAAATGTAACTTTGTTAAAAAAAAAACACAATGTTTTATTTTTTTCCCAAATCACATGATACAAGTGAAAACCTTTGTCTCGAATGGACACGTTTTATGGGTCAGGTGTTTGGAACCTAACAACTAGGGGACATCAAAGGCTCGCGGCCTAGAATTAATCCTTTAGAATGAATTCAAAGATAGGTTTCCCATACTGGCCAGCAGGTGGAGCCAGAGAATGCCACATCTTCAGGCCTGGGCATGAGCGTGGGAGGTGGGAGGGGCTCAGCCTTTCGGCTTTCTCTACCCAGAGTGAGAACTGAAACCCCTAGAAACCAGAACTCTTGCCCGGCTCTTGGGCTCCAGTGGTTAAAAACCATGTGCCACAAGGCCAGACTCAAGTGGTGACACCCCGTCTGGACCCTCCCCAAGGGCCTGACACAGAACTGCCCCATCTCAAACTTCTGCACTGCCTCCTCCAAGGATCCACCCGCCCCCCAGACACTGGGTGGGAGCCAGAAGGGGAAAGAGGCCTTACACTCCAGCACGAGGCCCGAGCACAGACGCCAGCCCAGGTACGGGCCAGGGGTGGCGGGTGGTCGCTGGAGGAAGCGGAGGGCTCCTGAGGGGGGCAGGAGCACCCTACCTGGCTGTGGGCAGGAGAGGCGGCCTCAGGGTCCAGCTGCCAGTAGCAAGCAGAGAAGAGAGAGAAAGAGGGGTGAAGACAAGCAGACCGTTGGCATTTCCCCTTCAGCAAGCACCTTAGGCCAAGTGGGTGGGTACTCTCTGGCTGCCCAGGGTGCAGGGTGCAAGTGCCAGGATGGGAAGCTGGCCTGGGCAGGTGAACTGTGCCCAGTCCAGGAAGGAGAGGCCAGACCCAGAAGGAGAGGCCCAGCTTGGTGAAGAGACACCTGTTATGAGACATCTCGGAGAAGATACTCTGCTAAGTCATTCACTGTGGCCTGGGCAGGAGTATGCCACTCTGCCTCTGGCCACAGTCTCTCCTGGGTGGGACATCTAATGCATCCTGAACTAGGCTCTTCTTATGAGCTGGCCAGGCCAGGCCACCTCCCCACACTCAGGGCCTGGGACCCTTGAGTGGCTCTGGGCCTTATCTTCAGGGCACTGGTCAGCCTGACTCCCCTGTAGCCAGCAGACCCCAGAACGGGGCTGTCCCGGGCTTCTAAACACACACAAAAATGCCACCCCCAGTGCCAAGGGCTGTCCTTTGGAGCTGCCGCCCCTACGCAGAATGACACCATACAGCAAGTCTCAGAACAAGACCACTAGCAGCCCCAAGTTGAGGACCCCTTCCTCAATCCCCCACTGCGCCCTGCACCACTCGCAGACAGGCACACCGCCCCATGGCGAGCAGAGGAACCACGCCACCGGGTCCACCAGCCACCTTCCCACGAACCAAGGGACTGTGGGCAGACCCTGTGGCCAGACTTGACCTGTCTCTGATTACTTAAAGACCTTTCTGAAGAGGAAGTGGAGTCAGCCAGGCCTTGGACCTTGCCTATAAGGAGTTAACAGTCCCCATTGGGTCTGGAGAGCCAGTGCACCAAAAGAGGGGAGACTGAGCTCCCTGCCTTACCACCCACCAGGCCCTGGCACCAAGCCATGTCCTCCAGGGCCAGAAAAGGGGGCTGGATCCTCAGCCAAGTGGGGTCCCTTCCCATGGGCGCAGGGCTCTGGGTCCCCCGGAGGAACAGGCCTCACAGCTCAGACCCTCTAGAAAGTGCTTCTCTTATTCCTTCAGGTGAGAAGGCCACGTGAGGGCCCCCAGGCTGCCATGGAGCCATCCTTCCATAGTCGGATGCTCCTCCCGCCCTCCCCGACACCCATAGTCTGGCTGCCAGCCTCGGCAAAGAGGAGCGCCAGGGCCTGGGGAACCATACATGAGAGGTGGCATTACAGAAGCTGTGAAGATCCTCTCAAGGCGCTGCTGGGCCTCCTCTGCGGGGGTCAGCCGGACCTCAGGGGCAGCTCCTGCCTAGAGGTTAAACTACCGTTAGTCCTGGCCTGGGGTGGGGGGGGGGGGGGGGGGTGCAGCATGCCAAGCTTCTAGCCTAGGAAGCCGCTGGGAACCAGTGGGCAAGTGGAGTAGGGTCAGGGAGGCAAGTCAGGCATCAACGTGAGTTTTTAAACTATTGGATGAGAAAAAAAGAACGGGTGCCCGGAAATTCTGGGGTTCTTCCTTCTCACAGTCCTAACCACTTTAGCACTGGGACGGCCCTATTTCCCCACATGGCCCCTGCCCCAGGCCCAGGTGACAGGTGGGTGAACTCCAGGTCAGGGCACATCTCAGCCCCCAATTCCACCCTGGGGAGAGGGACAGGGAGCCAGAGGGAGGGCAGCAAGGCCCGGGAACAGGCACATGACACTCTCTGGCTACTTATAGGTTCTAGTCAGGGGCTGAACTTCCCTCATGGCCTGTCCGTCAGGCCAAAATGCCCCTGCCAACTCCTGGGTGCCAGGAGGTGACTTCCCTGATTCAGAGCAGGCCAGCAGGGCCGGGAAGCTGCAGCCTGCTCTTCTCTAAGTTCTGCAAAACCCAGGAAGAATGGAGTAGGGAACGAGGCAGGTTCTGGGACCTTAGGAATCCCAGGAGGTAGCAGTCAGGGAGGGCCTTCAGGCTGTGCCCTACCCCCCACCCCCTTCCCCGCCCTTCCAGCCAGAAGAGCATGCAACACGGGGCGCCTGGGTGGCTCGGTCTTTAAGCGTCTGCCATCTGCCTTCTGCCTTCGGCTCAGGTCATGATCCCAGGGTCCTGGGATCGAGCCCCACATCAGGCTCTCTGCTCTGTGGGAAGCCTGCTTCTCCCTCTCCCACTCCCCCTGCTTGTGTTTGTGTTCCCTCTCGCTGTGTCTCTCTGTCAAATAAATAAAATCTTTAAAAAAAAAAAAAAAAAAAGGAAGAGCATGCAACATCCTGGGAGAAACAGTGGTGAAACTTGACTCCTCCCCTGCCAAACCTCATAGGCCTCAGAAGGCGCCACAAAATGGGGAAGTTTGAAGAATTGTCCCTGACCAAAGGACCAGCCATGTAGGCATCACCTTCCAAGGTCCTCCCCTCTGCCTCTCAGCCTCCTGTCCCACCTAGAGGTACTTTGTGGACAGATGGGGCCTCAGATCCAAAGGAGGCCCACTGTGCCCATTTGCCACCCAGGCACAGGGCTTCTCAAGAGTCCTGCTGCCAGAGGGAACTGCTGGCCAGGCTTGAAGAAGGGAGTGATGGCAATGATGGCATTAAAACTACTATTATTAGCATCACTGTCCATGCTACCGTTTGTGGAGCACCCACCATGCCAGCGACTGGGCTCAGAGCAGGTAACATTCCTCATCTTCACAGCAACTCTTCAAAGCTGGGATTAGCCCTTGTTTGCAATTCCAAAATCCAAAAGCTCCCCCAAACAATAGACTTTTTTCTTAACTATTTTGGTGGCAAAACCTGTTTGTAGTCTATCCCCCTGCCATGTGAATGGTCATAGATTTTGCTGTGAAAATATTTATGCTTGGTTACAGGTTGCTGCTCATCATGTAGGACTTTCTAAAATACAAAAATCACTAGCTTCCAAAACACTTCCGGCCCCAAGGGCTTCAGAGAAGGGACTGGAGACCTGTCCTGTCCCCACTTGGCAGATGGAGGCTCAGTGATGGGACCTTGCTGAGATCCCACACAGGGTGAGTGGCTGGGGAGGTGAACACGGGTTACCCGGCTCCAGAAATTCTCTTTCTACCCTAGCGCTGATCTGAACCTCTGCTTGGGGTCCGGAGCCTCCAGCCAACATCATGCAGCCTGGAAACAGGCCCCAACCCCACGCAAGAGTGTCGAAGAACAGCGGCATGCTGGTTAGCGGGGCCCATCCCAGAGCAGAGGCCGCCACGGGCTCCGGCACTCGGTTGAGGA